CGNGCGCGCGCGNGNGNGNGNGNGNGNGNGGNGNGGNGNGCGGCGCGNGNGNGNGNGGGNGGGGGGGGGGGAACGATGACGAGATCAGCGACGTGGGACGCAGGTGTCAATGCCGGGTGCGTCGGTGCGGACAGGGAAAGGGTCCGGACGACTCACGTGTCCGCAGAGCTGCGAGAGGCGCGGGATGCCGCCCATGGCAGCGACGACGCCCCTCTTGACCTCGGGAAAGGCAAAGACGGACCTTTGGCTTGCGACGACAATGTCGCAGTTGACCAGGGTCTCTGCTCCGCCGCCCATGCAGATTCCGTCGACGGCGGCGATGATGGGCTTGGTGCTCCTCCTGGTGCTGAGCGCACCGAAGCCGCCCTGGTGGAGCCTCTGGAGCGACTTGGAGTACTCGCTCTCTGCCTGCATCGGCTGCCCCGAGGGGTGCAGGACGGTCTCGACCTTGCCCCTGTTCTTGTCGAGCCAGTTCTTGAGGTCCTGTCCGGCGCAGAAGGCGCGGCCGTTGCCCGTGAGGACCATGATCCAGAGCGAGGGCTCGTGCTCGAAAAAGTCAAAGCTGCGGCGGATGTCGACCTCGAGCTCGTCGGTCATGGCATTGAGCTGCTGCGGCCGGTTGAGCGTCATCTGGAAGACGTGCGGGGCGGGCAGGCTGAGGACCAGGTGGGAGCCCACCTTTGGCAGCGAGGGGGAGGACGACATGGCAGTGGTGGTGGTGGAGGCGGCGGTGGGGGTGGTGGTCGCGGTTCTGGTCACAAGTGCGAGTTGCTCGGATGAGGGGGCAAGGGGAGTGAGGACGAGAGGGGGACTGGGAGCGGCTACTGTGCTGGGCCGTCGCTTTTGTCGCCGCCGCCGCCGTGGCTGTGGGTTGGGGCCGTTACCCCGCATTCGAAGGAAGGGTCTGCCGGCTGCTTGTCTTGGCCCGCCCCACCGGCTTCCGCTGCCGGCCTCTTGGCCGGTCTTCCGGTCTGCGCGCTGGGGGCCACTCCGCTTACGTAATCAGCCCATTCCACTTCGCCGCCACTCCCGCAACCCGAACCGTTCCCTCAACTTTTTTCCTCCACGAGAGGGCAGCATGGGGGCCTTCGCTTGGCCCAAAGCTTCCAGCCTTCCCTGCTCTTCCCTCTTCGAGCCTTCCATCAAGTCTTCCCTCCAGCCAGCCATCCGACATGCCCAAGCGGCAAAAACTCACACATACCGCTTCGGCGGCCTCTGAGCCTCACGAGGCCGGCATCACACCTGCCCAGCCGGCTTCCGGTCAGGACGGCAGCACCTCGCCTTCGTCCTCGAGCGACCACGCCTCCACCTCTTCCTCGGCGGGCAGCGACGGCGACGACAACGACAATGACGAAGAGGAACGGAGTCTCACAGGCTCACGGTCAGGGGCTGAAGGTGAAGACAACGATGACATCGACGAAGAAGCTGGTAGCGATTCAACGGAAGACGAAGACGAAGAAGAGGAGGAGGAGGAGCAGGTACCCCAGAAACCCGCATTCGACGAGAGCAAGGCCAAGAGCAAGCTGGTGAGTTGAGAGCTCTGATCGGCAGCCGTCTGACCAGCTGTCACATCGCTGCTCCGGGCAAAGTCTCGCTGACCGCGCCGTCAATGCTTTCCGTTGTCCGCAGCATCAAGGCGTCAAGTCCATCAGGGCGGCGGCCAAGACAGCCAAGGCGTTCGAACTGCAAAGGCTCGTCAAGAAGCTGCGGAGCTCCAAGGGCAAAGCATCGCAGGACAAGGCCGCGCTCGAACAAGAGATTGAGGGGGTAAAGCAGGTCGACACCCACGATCTGGCCCGGCGCGCGCTCCTCGCCAAGATGGTCAAGAACAAGCTTCTCCCGCGCCCCGCCGCACGGCTCCCCGAGGACGAGGTCGAGGCCGAATTTCCCTTTGCCGCTCTCGTCAAGGCCGAACCGCTGCTCAAGGACGAGCAGGTGGCCAAGAAGGGCGAGGCTGCGGCCGACAAGGTGCACGAAAAGGTCATGGCCATGCTCGTCAGCTCCAAGAAGCTCGCCGATGAAGTATCGCAGCGCGTCGAGGCGCTCAAAGTCCTGGCGGGCCTGCAGGAGGAGAGCAAGAGTAAGCTCCAAGCCACAAAGGACGCCAAGACTCTCAACGGCAGCGACAAGGACAAGCGGCTGGACGAGGACGCCGAGCAACTCGACGCGTCCGGCAGCGAGGACGAAAACGACGACGATGACGACGAAGAAGAAGAAGACGACGAGGACGACGAGGACGACGAGGATGACGCGGCCGACGAAGAAGAGCTGGAGCGGCTCGGCAGGGAGAAGATTGCGGCATTGGGCGATCTTTCGCAGTGGGACGACATGCTCGCCTCAGACTCTGACGAGGCTGGTGACGACGACGACGACGACGACGAGGACGAAGACGAAGAAAAGAGGAGCACGACAAGAAGGGCAAGTCAGCGCGAGGCGGCAAGCGAAAGCGACAGAGGTCCAACTCGATCTCGCAGTCCGAGTACGGCTCCGACGAAGAGGCGGCTAGCGAGGGCGAGCTCGTCTCCGACGACGACGGCAGCGAGGAGGAAGGAGGTTCGGACTCGGACGCCGATTCAGACGGTAGCGTGGACGATTCGGACTCGGACTCGGCACCGTCCAAGAAGAAGAGCAAGACAAAGAAGGGACCTTCGTCATCGACCTTCCTGCCGTCGCTCTCGACGGGCTTCATCGGCGGACGGAGCGACGACGACTGGAGCGACGCCGAGGCGGACCTGGCCGATCGCGACCTGTCAGAGATCAAGAGCGGCAAGAAGAAGCGCGAGTCAAAGAACCGGATGGGTCAGCGTGCCCGCAAGGCGTGAGTAGCACCGGCAAAATTCGGGGTTCCTGTCGACGCCTTTCGATGTCGAGGGCCTCCCCAATGTTTCTGACCGCATTCACCATTTTTCACATGCTCCTCACCCTTGCGCCGTCGCAGGCTCTATGAGAAAAAGTACGGTCGCAACGCCAACCACATCAAGATTCGGGAAAAGGAGAAGCGCAAAACGGAACGTCGACCCTCCTCGGCCGCCGCTGCCGCCGCAGGGGCAGGTGGGGAGGGATCAACGAGGCCGGTCTATGGAAAGGGGACGCAGGGTGCGGGATGGGGCGCATCGCGCCGCGCCTTGCCGTCGCAGGAAAAGAGCGCGCCCCAGCTCGAAAGCGGCATCGATACCCGCCGTACCCGTGGCGGTGGCGGCGTCAGGCCGACGCAACGTCCGCCGCCGAATCGACAGGCAGGCCCGCCATCGCGCGCTCCCGTCACTCGCGACCACGCTGCGCCACCGCAGCAGCGATCGGCTCCGCCGCCCGCCAGGCCGGCATCGACACCGGCGGCGTCCGCTGGTGCCTCGAGCAAGAAAGAGGAGATGCATCCCAGCTGGATCGCAAAGCAGCGTCAGAAGGAACTGGCGGCCGCTACCAAGCCGGCTGGCAAGAAGATTACATTCGATTAGACGGACCCCCTTTCTCCTGCACGCATCCAGTCATGTCTGTCCCACCGGCTCGCCACCCTGCGTCTCATATCGCTGAGGGATCCCCCACTGCATCGACGAAACATCGTTCCGCGCCGCCCTTCATCCCCTCCTCTCTGCGACACGGACGAGGTCCGCGACGACGCCCATGGCCGTGACGTCGGCGCCCGCACCGGCGCCCTGGACAATGAGGGGCCTGGCGCTGTAGCGCTTGGTGTGGAAGGCGACAATGTTGTCGGAGCCGCTGAGGGACGAGGCAAAGGGGTGCGACGAGGGGTACTTTTCCAGGCTCGCCTTGATTTCGCCCTTTTCGACGTCAATGACGCCGACGTAGCGCAGCACGCAGCCCTCGTTGGCGGCCGCCTGGTTGAGGGCCGTGTAGTCTCCGTCAAACTCGGGCAGGCGCTGCACGTACTCGTCGCCCGACTTGACGTCGGACAGGGGAGCGGGCGTGAGCGAGTGGGTGGGCACCGACAGGTAGCCCTCGGCCAGCGAAGTCGAGAGCGAGGGGACCAGGCGAGAGAGGATGGCCAGCTTGCGGGCAACGTCCGAGCCGTTGAGGTCGTCGTCCGGATGCGGCTCCTATGGTCGTCGATCCGACGGTCAGAGGGGGCAGGCAGATACAAAAGCGGAGGGCATGGTATGGTGAGCCTGCCGAATCGAAGCTGCGCAGGCTCTCCAGGCCCGAGCGGCACTCACAGTGTATCCGTTCTCCTTGGCCACCTTGACGATCTGGGAGAACTTGGCGTCTCCGCCCTTGGGCGTGCTGAATTCGTTGAAGATGTAGCTGAGAGTGCCGCTGAAGACGCCCTCGATCTTTGTGATCTCGTCGCCGGTGTAGATGAGGTCGTTGAGGGTGCCGATGATGGGGAGGCCCGCACCGACGGTGCTCTCCTGGTAGACGAGGGGCCCGGTGGAGCCGGGCTTTTCGTTGGACTTGAGCTGCTTGATCTGGTTGTAGAGGTCGAGGGAGCCGCTAAAGGCCTTTTTGTTGGGGGTGACGACGCTGAGGCCGGCCTTGAGGAATTCGGGGTAGAACTGGGCGACGGTCTCGTCGGACGTGTTGTCGACGACGGCCGTGTGGCGTCCCGAGTCGTTTGTGATCTTCTGCAGCTCGACGACGAGGTCCGGCAGGGCGAGGGCCGACGTGGGGCTGTTGGAGAGGAGCTTCTTCCAGTCGGCCGGGGGCGCGAGCGAGAGGGGCGAGGCTGGGGTGCTGAGCAGCGTCTTTTTGCTGTTCTGCAGGGCGACAATGTGGAGCCGCGAGGCGAGGTTGGGGATGGTGGTGAGCTGCGAAATGACCGAGGTGCCCACCAGACCGACGCCGATGATGGCAACGTTGATTCCCTGCGATGTGGACATGGTGGCGGTGGTGGCGATAGGCTGTGTGCGAAGAGAGAGATGTGGTGGGGTATTCACGAGGTGACGATGCTGGTGGGTTGGAGCCAAGGACGGGTAGGTTGGGCCTGGCGGGTGAGGCGACTTTCTTCCGGCCTGCTGCTAGTTGGCCGCTGCCCGACTTCTTGCCCGTCTGCGAGGCTGCGAGGCTGCAGGTCCCCCCGAGTCACCGCGGCGTGCGCTGTGTCTGTCGCACGAGCCACGGCCCTTTTCCCTTGGGCTGGAAAAGTGGAGCAGCTCGGTTCGCTGCTCGGAAATCGGAAATTGACGGAAGCTTCTCAGCGTCCGCCCGCCGGGGATACGGTAGGGCAGCCAGCCGGCAAAGGCCCACCCCCAGGCGTCCTCGAGTGGGCGGGCCAAGGCGCTTGCTGACTTGATCCTGCCGCCTCGCTGCCCGACCACCTCGCTCGTTTGCTCACATTTACGTCTCACCACCACCACCAACACCACCACCGCCACCCTCCTACCATACCACATACGGAACTGTCACACACACCGCCGACCGCAACATGTTCACCGGAATCGGTGAGTTTTGGAGGCAGGCAAGCAACGGTTCAGCTGCCACTGCGACACCGTCTCTGACATTCTCCCCCTTTCCCCCTTTCTTTGCTCCTCCCCACGACACGACGACGACGACGACGACGACGACGACGACGACAGTCGAGCTTCTCGCTCCCATCCTCTCCATCGAGGCGCTGGATACGACCCAGTCGGGTGGGGGCGGCTTCTCGATCACCATCAGCGAGTGCGCCTCGATCCTCAAAGACTGCCACATTGGCGACAGCATCGCCGTCAACGGCACCTGCCTGACCGTCACCGAGTTTGACGTCGAGCAGCACGGCGGCTACTTCAAGATCGGCGTGGCCCCAGAGACGCTCAAAAAGACCAACCTCGGCACGCTGCACAAGGGCGACAAGGTCAACTGCGAGCGCGCCATGGACGCCCACACCCGCTTCGGCGGCCACTTTGTCCAGGGCCACGTCGACACCACCGCCGTCATCCGCAGCGTCGTTCCCACCGGCAACGCGCTCACGCTCACCCTCCGCCTCAAGAATGAACCCGACATGCTTCCCGCCCCCTCGTCCCTCTCGCCCTACCTCATCCCAAAGGGCTACGTGACCCTCGACGGCGCGTCCCTCACCCTCATCGAGGTATCCCCACCCACCGGCGGCCTCCTCCCCTCCAACTCGACCGCAGGAGAATTCAGAGAGGATGCGGCATCCACGGAAGACAAGAAGGACGTCGTCGAGTTCTCCGTCATGCTCATCAAGCACACTCAGGAGGTCATCGGCCTCAGCAGAAAGAAGCCAGGCGACACCGTCAACGTCGAGCTCGACATGGTCGGCAAGTACGTCTACCGCGCCGTCATGGGATCCCTCGAGCGCGACAGCGAGGAGGCTTCGCCGTCTTCAGCGGGCGCCACTTCGGGGGCATCCGGGTCCGTCGATGCCGGTCGTCAGGTCGTGGGCGAGGCTGCGGGTCCGGCCTCCACACAGGCGCTCGAGGGCATGGTCGAGCGGATCGTAAGAAGGGTTCTCACCGAACAGCAGTCGAAGCAGTAGCAGCGGTTTATCTCCCGCTCACGCGAGAACTGCAGCACAAGCAATACAGCGGGCATCCCATTTCAAAACTTTATTCGCGGCTCGTTTGCCGGGATCACTGGGGCGCTGCCGGTACATGCTGTAGGAATGCGGGCGTCGCGGCCTGTCGCCGCTCGCTGCTTTTGGTGCGCCGCTTTGTCCCCTTTTCTCAAGGCGGCGGCGCTGGGAGGCTCTTGCATTGCTGCTTGGACGTTCGGAGCTCAGGCGGCCCGGGCCGAGACGGCCTGCTGGCGGATCTTGACGAGCTCATCGATGGCTGCCACCATGTTGACCGAGGAAGCGACGCTCGTCTTGCTGGCGCCGGCGCTGGGAAGGGGCGGGACGGGCTCCTGGTGCCTGGGCTCCTCGAGCGAGTCGATGGACGTGGGCTTGCGGCGCAGGCGGTGCTTGGACTTGTCGGCTCCGCTGGTGGTCGACGACGACGACGCGTCGATGTGCGCGCCATCGAACGGGTCGGCCGCGTGCTTCTTCTTCCTCCTGAAGGTGCCCGAAGAAATGGTCTTGGTGGTGCCCGTGCCGGTGCTGGTGCTGCGCGAGCGGGCGTGGCCCATGCGGCTCAGGAGCCTCTTGCCCAGGCCGCCCGACACCGAGATCGTCTCGTTCCTGCTGATGTAGGGCGCTTGCTTCTCGTCGCCGGGCCTCGACGCGGGGGGCGCCTGGTCAACACCGCCATGCGGCCACAGCGGCGTGGTGGCAGACGACGACGACGACAGCATCGCGGTGCCTTGAGCGGTGGTCTCCTGCCTCTCGCTACCCCACTCGTCGTGCGAGGGCTCAGTGGTGCCCGCCGTCATCGCAGGTCGTTCTTTGGCCTCGCTGGCTGCCAGAGCCTGCTGGGGGTTGGATTCGGCGGACGAGGGGCGCGCGCCCTTGTCGCTGGCGGCTTCAAAGGTGCGCAGCATGGCCTCAACCTCGAGCTCGACGTTGAACTCCTTGATACGAGCGCGTAGCAGGGCGGACTGGGGACGGAGCTGAAGGGTAAGGTGGTCGAGCAGGAGTGGTGCTCACGATCAGCCACGGAACATGACTCCTTCCGGCTCGAGGGCGTGCAGCACTCACGTAGAACTCTCGATAGTCGCGGAGCAGCTTGACCTCTGCCTCGACGGGAACAAAGCCGTTCTCGGTGTCGCCGAGGGCGAAGAAAGCCAGCAGCCTGCGCAGCAGGACGGGCGCAAAGACGCGGTGGACGCAGAGGTTGCTGATGGCGATGAGCACGTCGAGCGAGAGGCAGTCCACCGCGCGACGCTTGAGGTGGGCGGCGATGAAGTCGGCTGCCTCCTGGGCGCCCATGCCCGAGATAGCGCCCTCTTCCTGCGGCGCTGAAGGCTCGGCGAAGCTTTGGGCCTCGTCATGAAGCTGATAGTGGCCGGGGAGTCGGGGTGGGACGAAGCTGTCCCTGCTCTGATGATGCTCGCCGTGCGGCTTGCGGCTGAAGATGTGCAGAGGCTTGTGCCAGGGAGAGGCCGGAGGCGTGTTGGGGGCGGGATCGGAAGAGGCGCTCGTGCTGGAACTGGCGACAGGGACGTGGTCCGGGAACCCCAGATGGCGGAGGATGGCGATCCTCGTCGGAGCGGCGAGGTACGTCGAGAACTGCAGAGGACACAGAAGGCTACATCGTCAACCAGGCCTGCACTTCGCCGACGGAGCAGGGCGCGGAATCGGACTCACGTTCGACTGAGGAGGCTTGAGCGGCTGGAACTCCTTCAGGGTGTTGCAGAGCTGAGCCCACTGCTTGGCAGGAGCGTTCTGGCGCTGGTAGACGGTCTTCGTGGTCCATGCCAGCAGCTTGGCTGTGGAAGCGCGGGGAGGTGATCGGCTCATGTTCGACGTCAGCCCCTGATTCTGCTCGAAATCGGTAGGTCAGCACGACGGGCGACGCTCACAATCTTCGATGAAGTACAGGTAGGCGAGGATCTGCGAGCCGATGAGGTCGACGACCACTTCGGAGGTGCTTTTATCGATGACGTTCAGCAGGGTCGAGATCCTCAACTATGGGGCCAACCAAAAGCAGCGTCAGTGAGGACACACCGATGACGAAGCTGCTCGCGCTGTCACAGTGGCCAGGCTCACCTTGGCCAGCTCGCGATGCAGCATCCGAAGCGGCTCATTATCGGCAGTGCTCTTCACGGAAGCTTGCGTGTTGCCGACGGTGGCTCGGAGGAGCTGCTTGACGACTTTGGCGGGCACCTCTGCAGCAGACGTCGAAGTCGCAACAAGTTGTCAGTTGGCGCGCCCTGAACGTGGGCACGACGGTTGAAGGAGTGGCCCACCTAGCGCCTTGTCCGATGCAAGGACGTATGCCTGGTCCTCGTGCACAGACGAGGGATCGCGGAAGAGGTCGTCGGAGAGGAATTCGGTCTCGTCCGAAGTACTGCTGTGCATCGACATGCTGAAGGGGCTGACGGCGGTGGACGAGGGGAGGCGGCGCTTCTGATCCGGGCTCTGGCCTCGATCGCCCGTGGGCGACGCCGAATGAGCGCTGCTGAGTGAAGAAGGGCTGAGGTGGCGATTAAAGATGGCGCCGTTTCCCCCCACCGCCTGCGTCGGGCTGGTCGAGAGCGGGCCAGCTGACTTCGTTTTGTCAACGCGCGATCCGTTGCTGGCATGCTGCTCTGCACCAGCGCGCGCGACAGGGATGCCGTCGAGCTGACCAAAGGTACCACGCCTCCTCATGTCTGAAGATCCGTCCGGCGCCGCTCCTCGCTCGGCCGGAGTAGGGGATGTCGGCGAGCGAGGCTCGACGATCAAAGGCGGGACATCGGCATCTGTCAGGTTCTGAGGAGCAAAGTACTCGCCGATCAAACCCTCGATGGTCTCGCGGCTGCTGGCCAGCGCGTCCGACTCAGGGGAAGGCGTGGCTACTGGCTGGCGTGCTGCAGTGACAGCGTCGAAGATCTGGCTCACGGCAGGCGTTGCGTCCTGCGCGGCTTGGCCGTCCTTCGAAGCAGGCGCCTGGCGACGGACCTCGCCATCTCCGTTGTTGGGTTCGGCATGGGCGTTTATGTGCAGCGCCTGACCGTTCGTCGCAGGGGCCTGTTCCGTAGAAGAGCTGGCCGCCGGCTGCTGCGCGAGGTCCTTCTTGACGGACGAGATGCGCTCGGCCGCCGCGTGCGCAAAGTCGGCGGTCTCTCGGATGGACAGTCGCCACGCGTTCAGAGCGGCGAGGGGCGTGACAGTGGCATCGACCTGGTCGCGACCTGAATCAATCGAGTCGGGCTGGACGGTGGGCTGGATGGAGGTCGGTACGTTGCCGGAAGAGTCGGACGGCTCTGCAGACATGGCTGTAGAGTCTTGGTTGCGGACAGACTCGACGCTGGCAGGGAGATTGTCGGAGAGCTCCATGACGCGTGAGCCAAGGGGCATAGGGAAGCCGAAGAGGCAGGGAACAAGGGCGGCAGAGGGGGCGGCGGAGCTGGCCTCGCCAGTGGTGCTTTTCTCCGTCAGAAGCTGAAGCAGAGAGCTGTCGGTACGGTCTGAAGGGCTGGAGCCTCGCAGCGTCAAGGGCGGAGATTCCAGGCGATCGCCACCCTGCCCACGCGGCTGCGCCGTCTCTTCTGCTGGTTTCGGGCTCTCAGCGGTACCGTTCGCGAGCATCTGCACGCCTTTTGGCGCTTGATCCGACCTGTCTGGACTGTGGGCCCGAGCGCCTCTGTCTCCACCTTCCTGCTCTGCAATCGAGTCAAAGTCCGGGTTGGTGACGATGAAGCGGTCTCGCGCCTGGGAGGTGCTGTAAGAAGGCGGCCTGCCGAGGCCGTCGGGCGCCGGAGCGGTTGCTGCGCTCTTCTGCTGCATGTGCGCCGCCATTAGGGCCGTAGCTTGAGCCTGATCGGTTGACGCGATGCTGAAGGGCAGGCAGGCTAGACCTGGGCGCAGGCGGGGGGGGGGAGAGCGGCCGTTACGTTGCTGGTGACGGGAATTGCGGTGAGGTGGACCGCGTCCATCTCGGGGCGGATGGTCGGGCCGCTTTATAAATGAGGTCGTCGGATGCGCAGACGCTCGCCACTCGATCGCCTTCTTGGTGAGCGCCATCCAGTCAGGGGGCTGTGCTGCTTTCCGCCGCGCAGGTGCTTACCTCTGCCCTGTGTTCCGGCTCGAGGATGTGAGGAGAGCAGCCCAGCGTCGTCCTCGAAGGCCTTGATCAAGGCCGCCTCATAGGCTGAAGGGCAGCAGGCGCTCGCCATTCCGAGGGGGTCGGTTCGCGGGCGGCAACGAGGTGGGCAAGCAACCAAAGGAAGAGTTTGCGACATGTTGTAACGAAGCTTCATCGATGTGCTGCCGACTTGACCTCGCCTGAGAAGACGAAAGAGTCTCGGACTCGGCTGCCCGCGATACCACGCGTTCCGGGCTCTCCGACGAAGCGTGAAGAGCTGAGCGCCGTTGAGGGACGCCTTGATTGACCCTTTGATTGGCGGTCAATCCACGCTGAAGATGCCCACGCCCTACTTCTGTGGGTCTCCAGCGTGTTGCTGATCACCGTCAGAGAGCATCGCTGGCACCTGGCTGGTGATGGAACACGCATCTGATCATTTAGAGATCCAGCTGGAGAGACTCTGAACAGAAGAGGAGATCAGAGAATGCAGACGTCGTTACATTCGCTGCGGGATCCGAAGCAGGCAGGGGAGGGCGAAACCAGGTCAGACCATTATCCTGACGGTGGGTGGCGGAGCTCCCGTCGACGTACGGCGTCGCGGGCTGACTCTTACCCCTTCACGCTCATGTCCTGGAAGTTCCAGTCCGCTGGACGGCAGCACCGGAACTGAACCTTGCACTTCATCGCCCCATTGCAGACACCACCCCGATCAACGCCGTTGTCGTCATCTGTCTGGTTTGATGGATCGAGGTCCGTCGGGCGGTGGAAAGGGTGGTAGCGCTTCCCAAGGCCGTCCTGCTGCCTGGCCCGGATATCGGCGCTGCCGAAATGAGCGGCGCGGGGCGGAAGCAGACCGTCGCGCCCCGCGGATCCAGCCCCGACAGCAACGGCCTCGCCGACGGGTTGAGCGTCGACGGGGCCAGCGACGAAGAGAAGGGCCGCCGCGAAGAGGAACGCAGCGCTCAAAAGCTTCATAGTCTCGGCTGCGCGGTATGTCCAGGTAAGGCCGGCTGGCTCGCGAGAGCTTGTTTGTTGCAGAACGTGCGTGGGAGCTGCGCGGGTGGCGGGTTCGGCAAGGGTCCGCGTCAGGGTCAGCCCGAAGTCGCTCGCATGCCAGACGACAGGGGCCGCTACGCAAGGAGCACCCACCGACATACTCACCCGTGAGCCTTAGGGGAAAGGCGAGCCTGGAGTGCAGAGGAAGGGTGCGATGTCGAGAATGGATCGAGCGGTTGAGATGGGGGCAGAGGATGGACCTCGTAGCCTCCCTCTTATACGAATTGGAGGGCCATCCCATGGCCTTCTATCTGCGCCGGCGGAAGAGCACCTACCGGCGGCACCGCCGGAGGCTGGGCCGGGCTCATGCCACACCGCAGTGGGGTGTCTCATGCTCTGCTGGACGCACCTTGCTTGCTTCGCCCTCGACTCGACACGGAGCGCCTGCTCAGAGGGCTGCGGAACTGTGCCGGGCGCCGAGCTCCAGAATCCGGCCTAATCGCGAACTTGCGCCCAGCTGGGGCGAGCATGGGCACCCCACCATGGTGAGCCAGAGCCTACCTGGTGGCCAAAAACGCACGCACGTTGACCCTCGGCGAGCCTAGATTTCGAGGTGGGTGGGTCGAAGCCCAGGGGGCGCTGAGCTTCGCCAATCCCGAGCGATTCGAGCATAGGTCGAAGCACACTGTACTAGCTGTGGCGCAAGAGAGGTAGGCCAGGCTAGAATCGCGGTCACACAAGCTGTATTGCAGAGCAGTCTACAGGTAGCAGCTAGAGAGGGCCCCTCTAGCAGAGTGGCCGAGGCGTCCGCCGTGATGGTCACGGCAGCTCGCCCATGCCGGCCAGGATCCGCTTGGCCCTCTGCCGCCTGAGCTCCAGCGTCCTTGCATCGATCGCAGGGCTGGCCTCGCCTTCGCCATTGGTGGCAGCAGCAGCAGCATCGGCCGTCTTTTCGGCCTCCATGGCCATGGCACCAAACGAGACCGACTTGCCCGTCGACTTGTCTGCGGCAGCAGGGGCGGATGCAGCGGCATCGACATCAGAGACTGTCTCGGCGGCAGCAGTCTCCGGGACTGGTGCGTTGAGCGCCTCCTTGAGCGTCTCGACGAGCCGCTAACAAGGGCATCGTGGACGGGCACACAACAAGAGAAGGTCAGCGCTCGCTCTTGCGCTGCATCGCTCAATCTAGCTAGAGCACGGTCGGACCGCCGACTCACCTGCTTGGCGGCGCCCATGACGCTCTTCAAATAGGCCGTGACCACGGGAACAAAGACCTCAGGGATGAAGTTCTCGCCCTCGTCCTCCTCTGGCTTCTCCTTGTCGGCGGCCGCTGCGTCCCCTTGCCCGTCTTGTGCACCTTGAGCGGCAGTCGGCGCCTCTTCGCTTGGCTTGTCGCCCTGTGCGGCTGGCTTGCGGGTGGCTAGCTCTGGATCGTAGTCGGCTGGCGGGCATGCCAGGGCGTTTCGGAGCAGCCAGTTCTGCTTGGCTTTGTTGAACTTCCAGCTGGCCCGGTCGCTGCTATACACCCTGGCGTACTCGATGGCTGGCGATGGGCGGGAGGAGGAACGTCAAGAGGGAGCGTCAGCAACACGTACGAAGAGGGGTCACTGCGTCGCACCAAGCTCGAAGCCGACTCACCCTTCTTGGCGTGCTCGCTCAGCCTCAGGTCGAGCTCGGGGTCGGGGCCCACGTTGCCCTGCGCCTCTACAGCCTTGACGAGGTTCTCGTCCTTGTTGGATCCCTTCTTGTTGGCCCTGGCCCTCTTGCGCTTCCGTTTCCTCTTGCCGTCGTCTCCTTCGCCTTCGTCCTCATCGCCGCTGTCCTTGGCATCGTCGACGTCCGCTGCCGCCTTTGCAGGTGTTGCCGCCTTGTCCCGCGGCGTGGGCACAGGCGCTGGCTCAGTGGCGGCGACGGTGGTGCTCTGCTTCGGATCTGCTGATTCTTTTGCCTCCTGATCGTCGTCGTCGTTATCGTCGCTGTTGTCGTCGGCATCTGCTGTGCGAGTCTTGTTCTTGCCTCGCCTTGTGCGGGTGCGCTTCCGCTTGGTCGAGGTCGAGGCGTTGGCGGGGTCGGCCGGTGCTGGTGCCGGTGCTGTCGCCGGCGCCGAGCTGGAAGAAGGTGCTGTGGCAGTCGGCATGCTGTCTCTCTTTGGGGCTGGCTCTCTGTCAGCCTGTGGCTAGAGAGGGACGAGGTGGGTGGACGGGATGATGGCGAGCGGGCCATCCGAAGATAGGCACACGCCGGCTGGCTTCCGGCGAGGTGGAGAAGGGCGGGGAGTGGGCCTGCCCTGCCTGCCTGCCCCGAAGAAATTTTTGGACAGAGCGCGCTGCAGCTGCACCAGCCGCATGCACCCGTGCCCGAATCCCGAGTCTTCGGGGCGTCGGGCCTTCCTGAGCTTCGACGGCAGCAAAGGTGGAGAAGAAGCCTGGCCCCGCTTTCCTGCCGGCTCCCCACACGACCACCACCACCACCACCGACCACCATCAGCATCGGCATCGGCACTGGCAACGACACCGGCATTAGCGTTCGCGACCAACAATGGGCAATCTCGCAGGGGTTACCGCCATCCTCTCCGTGCTTGTTCGACCCGCGCTCGTCGTGCCGCACGTCCAGGCACCCGACATCCGTCACCTCGACTGGTCTGCGCTGCACGCATCTGGCGTCCGCTACCTCGTCTTTGACAAGGACAACTGCCTCACCATCCCGCACTCGGATCATCTCGAACCTGCTCTCGTCGAGCCCTGGTCCGAGTGTCAGCGCGTGTTTGGACGAGAAAACATCCTCATCGTGTCCAACTCGAGCGGGTCGACCGACGATCCATCTGGCCTCGGCGCCGAGTCGCTCAGTCGAGCTCTGGGAGTACCCGTCCTCTGCCACAGCCAGAAGAAGCCCGGCGCGACCTGTGTCCGCGATGCCATGGAGTACTTTGTCCGGCTCAGCATCGACCCCGAGGGCACACTGCGGGAGGGGCAACGCATGCCTCCCGGATCCCCGTCGTCCTCAGCCGAGGGTGAGACGTGGCTCGCAAGGCGGAAGTCCCGCAAGCTTCTCCGTGACAGCATCCCGCAAGATTCGAGCGGCAATGGCAGCATCCTCCTCGTCGGCGACAGGACCATGACCGACGTCGTCCTCGCACACCGCATGAACGACGAGCTCGTTCGCCGTAGGAAAAAGGCCGGCATCGACGTCGAGATCGAGTGGAGCGACTACGAGGCTAGAACGACGGGCGCGCCAGCGAACCCGTCCATCGTGCAACCGGGGGAGCCCCTGACGACATTAGGCGCTGCCATGTCGCTCTCGCCTGGCGTCAGCGCTCCTCGCGGCGGCCAGCTTGTGCCGCCACCACAGTGCATCTCGGTGCTGACGACAGGCCTTTGGGCCAATGAGGGCCGTCTCAACATGTGGATGCGCTCCATGGAGAACCGCATCACCCTTTTCCTCATCCAACGAGGCTTCCAGCCAGGTCAGCGTGGCCTCTTCAGCCCGAGGAAGGGCAAGCTCGGCCAAGTGCCTTGGCAGTCGATCGCCGTCCTCGAGAATCCGCAGATCTCTACCCCTGCCGACGTTGAGGCCGCGAACGCGGAAGCTACGTCCCTCGCAGCGGGGCCAGGCGATGAGACGGACGGCCTGCAGACCGCACGACAACCCACCCTCGGCGGTCTGGTGCTGATGGCGATGCTGCGGCCGCTGCCGCCTCGACTTGCCGGCGCGATCCGAGCCGTGATTGAGTCGCGGCCCGTGTCGTGGGTCGCGTTCCACATGAAGGAAGGCTGGAACATCATTGTCAAGGGCCTGCAGCTTGGCGCACGCGAAGCCGGTCTGCTCGAGCCGACGGGACGGCGGAAGAGCCGCCACCTGTACCAGGCCGAGGCCGAGGAGGATCCGCTGCTACCTCCCAGCAGCAGGAAGAGACCGCCTACGCTCCGCAGCGTCCTGTCCTCTCCACCGGTCGGCAGCCCGATTCTGGACCAGATCAGGTGGCCGCGCACGCAGGCAGCTTCTACGGCCTTCCGAACGATGGAAACGTTTTCGGCTAGCAAGTTCCTACAGCGCTTCGACCGGACCTCGTCAGTTTCTACCTCCCCATCTGGTGCGGCTGGCGGCAGCGCCACGTCGAAAGGCACGACAAGGGGGCAAGCGCACCTCGGCCGATCATTCAGCACCTCTACGCGCCTTCGTTCCAAGATCCCTCCTCCATCCTCTTCCCGGGGTCCCGCCACGACGCAGCGGGGCAAGGTACCGATGCGCAACTGGATTGCGGCCCTCTCCGCACTCGTCCTCGTACCAGCATGCTACTACGGCGGTGTGTACCTGCATGATCTGCAGGACCTCCGGAAGGCGGAGAGGGAGCTCAAGGAGAAGAACGAGAGGCAGCTTCGTCTCGTCGAGGCCGAGCGGGTGGCTTCGATCCCGCCGGTCGAGGCGGAAAAGATGCTCGGCTACGACGAAAAGGCGAATAGGGCCAGGCAGGAGGAGAGAGTCGAGAGGAGAAGAGCGTGAGTCTTGGTCTTTCTCGCTGGCCCGACTGGCTCGAGACTCGTTGCTGGCGATGAGATGCTGACCCCGGGACACTTCCGTGGGCGTCATTACGTTCGCACAGACTCGAGTTGACGCTCTACCACCTCAACCACGAGCGCGAGGAGATCCTCGACAAGCTCGAGCGGGTCCAGACGCGTCTGGCTGAGTCGAGATCTGACAACGCCCCTTCGACCTGAGGAAACACGCGACCGCACCGCACATCGGCCGTCATCGATGCATCGACGGCCACCGCATCCGTCTCGATTGCCACTGTAGATCCAGTCCAGCCGGTGCGCGGAGACAGAAGACAGGAGAAAGGAGAGAACAGGGGAGATCTACAGCACGACCTCGGGGATGCTCTCCTTGGACGTGCCGAGCTTGGGCAGACGGACGTAGACGTCGGTCGAATGGCCGTCGAGGCTGCGCAGGCTGAGCGAGCCACCGAAAAAGTCGCAGTAGACCTTGGCCATGGGCAGCCCTAGGCCCGTCTCGACCTGGACCGTGTGCAGCGCCGCGGGCCCGGTACCCTCGTACGCCCTCCGCTGCAGCGGCGAGAGGACCGATGCCGGTCCGCCGCTCGAAGCAGACGGGTTCGTAGAGCCAGATGAGGATGGTGTGGAGGATGAAGATGGCGAAGACGAGATGGACGAGGCGGAGGCTGCAGATGCGGCCATCTGCTCGGTGACGGTCCCCTTGAACTTGCCCACTCGCCTGAGCGCGTGGAACTGGTCCCTCGTCGGCGTTGGCCTGGTTGTCGCTGCATCGAAGCCCGCAGCGTCTTCGGCGGCGGAGGCGCTGCTGTCGACTGAAGAAGAAGAGGGCGACTGGAGGCGCTCAGTGGCTATCCTCGTTGCCTCGCCCTCGAGCTCGAGTCTGCGCCGGACGTTGCTAAAGGAGCACAGCGCGTCGATCAGCGAGTCGGGCGAGAGCGGAGCCGATGCGGGGCCGACGAGCGACGACGAAGGTAGCGTATCGTGGCCCGTCTGCGAGCCCGCCATCCCACCAGCGGAGCCGACGCCGCCCCGCGCAGAGTAGCTCGGTGACGGGTCCATGCTCATCGTGTGCGGGCCCGCCCCTGCGTAATCTGGCGATGAATACGAGCCTGAGCCGTATGCAGCATGCCTCGCGGCTGCATCGTAGCCGCCTACGTGGCCCGTCTCGGGGAACGGGATGGGGTACTGCGGTCCCGTCGAGGGCCCCGCCAAGCCGCTCGGGATCGAGAGCTGCTCAATGAGGTCTGGCAGGCCTCCTCCGGCTGTCGGGAGCAACGAGGTGTGGCGGTTTGTGTCAGTTCTGAGCAGGCCGTGGGCGGACGGTGGCTTTAATCTATCAGAAGGTGATCATGCACTCACAATCGGAGATGCGAATGATGAGATCCTCTGCCGGCGGCCCTTCGACGATCGTAACTCGAACCACTGCCGCGGAAAGGAGGGGGGAACAAGTGGACGTCAGAGATCGGACAGACGTCGACATGAGGCTGGGAAAGATCCGGACTCACCACCAGCATCCTCGCGTCCTGCGTGTTGCCGGATCGTGGATCGGATGGCGTTCTTCAACAGCTCAAAGATGATGTACTGGGCGGTGAGGAAGGAGAGGGTAGACATGTCAGATTGTCGATCATCAGAGGACCCACGGGAAGCTCAGCTGAGCTTCGCCGGCGGCGCCCTACCCACCTCGAGGTGCTCGGGTATGTAGGCGAATCTCGCATTGAGGTCGCCGTCGATGCGGATCTCTGGAACGCGGTCGGGGGAGATGCCTTCGGTCCCTGCGAATACCTCGGTCAGCAGCTTGACGCCCTTGCGCACGACGCTGGCCACGCTGAGGTGCGTGTAGATGATGCCGACGTGGTTGTCGCTGAGGTCCTCGTGGGCGCTGTCGCCGCCGCCGTCGTCGTCGTTGCGGCGTACGGGCTCGTTGAAGAAGTGGAAGGGGTCGTCGAGGGCCTCGCTGAGGGCGATGTGCTGTTCCGCCAGCACCCTCCGCGAGATGCGGGAGCGGAGCATGCGCTCCATGAACTTGTCGAGCTGGTGGGGCGGGAGGTGGTGCGAGGACTCGACGATGCCGATGGTGAGCGAGGGGATGATGGTGAGGTGGTCGTCGAGGAGGCCCTTGAGGAGGTTGCAGAAGCGCTCGTTGTCGTCCATGTCGCGGATGGGGGGCAGGCGGCGCAGCGTCTCGAATGCGGACCAGTACTTGTTGTAGACGTTTTCGAGGTGCTGGTTGGTCATGACGACAAAGGGCAACGCCTGGAGGTCGCGGATGCGGTGGGCGATGCGTACGGGAAGCTCCTGTCGGACGTAGGCAGCGCTCTTGAGGATCTTTTCGCGGTCCTTGCCGAGGGTCTTGCCAAAGAAGATGAGCTGGCGGAGCGTCATGCGGGTGGCGGGCCGCGCTGCCCAGGTCTCGAGGACCTTGTTGAGGTAAAAGTGGCGTCCGAGGTCGGCCTCGCTCTCGGCGCCGGCCGAGCCCGAGAGGCCGCCGGGGCGTGTGCCCGGTGCTCTGGCGGGCGTAGGAGAGGTGTGGAAGGAGTGTGACGTAGCTGGAAGCGATGGTGATCTGCCGGCGGTCGATGCAATGTGCGGTAGAGACGAGGAGCGGCTAGCGGGGGCGATGGTCGACGGTAGGCTGCCGTGCCTGGACGAAGCAGCGGCGAGGCGGCCACACGCCCGCCTCATTGTTGGTCGCATCGGAGGTGGGCCGAGGCGAGACGAGGCCCGCAGTTCGGTGTGCTGATAGACGGCAGGCGTGTGTCGACAGGGGTGACCGGAGATGGCGATGCTGGCTGTTGACGTGAAGCTCGAGGGCGATGGTGGTGATGGTGGTGGTGGTGGCAGCGGGTGGTTGGTGCCTTTGGGCGAGCGGGCCTCCACTCGAGGCACGACACCGAGGCTTTGGGGCTGTTGGCCCCTCCGCCCTTTTCCCTTCGGGCGTCGGTCGGCCGTCAGAATGGCGCCGAGGGGCGCGGCGGGCGGCACCCCCGCAAAATCCGACTTTCTGGCATCCCCCCGACCAAGCGGCCCTCGCGCTTCCTGGCCAACACCCGGCTGACTCTGGTCCGCACCACACGTCGACTACTGATGGCGACGCCCGGCCTCGAGTCTTCTCCTTGCTAGACGCCCTTCTGGTCGTGTCGTGTGCTTCGACGGCAGCAACGAATGTGCTAAACGTCTTTGGAAAAGATGCTGCACCTACGTCGATGTAGTTCGCGCTCTTTTGCGGGCTTCGCGAGCCAGGCCCGTCCTTGGGCACCCTTCTTCCTCGCCTGGCTGCCCGAGACGCTCAGCACGGTTGGACACCAAAGTCTCCCTGGACGCCTTTGCATCCCCGTTCCTCATGGCCCAGCCGTCTATCAGGAACGTGGTGCCCGAGTCACAAGATGCAGTCCATGGGCATCCACCGTCATGAATACCACCACCGATCGACCCACCCTGGGAAGATTCGGGCCGGATCCTACCGGGTCGAGTGCAGCCCCGCGTCTGTTGGACCCCACTTCGGGCCAGGAGTGTGGGCGAAAGCACAGCCACACCCACACGATCTCAGCCTTGCCACGGCCGGCTACCCGGCTCTCGCCAGTCGACCGCTTGTCGACGAGGGAGCAGCTGCAACGTACCCGGATCGCGTTCTGAACACTTGCCGACTCGTCGACCCACATCAGCTGGACTTTGATCGTGCTCATATCAGTCTGAAAGGAAAGAGATTGTCAACGAGCCGGTCAATCTTCGGAACTTGTGGTCCGAAGATCGATGTTGGTGGGGAGCGTGTCAAGCCGCTGGTTTGCTTGGCTGGGGGGCCCGGAGGCTAGACCTCTAGAGGCGGCATCGACCTGGCGGATCGTACCCATGCCCAATCATGGGAGAAAGGCTTATAAGCAGCACGTCGAGCAGCAGCAATCCAGACAGAGCTCTTCTAGACCTCCGACCCCCTCTTTGGTGCACACAAGCAGACTCCTAGCGATCACGAAACCCTCCTGTTCCTCGACGTAGGTACCGTCCTCGGCTCCCTGGCTGCACACAGCAACAAACGACGAAGGTGTCACTCGTCCTCCAACTGACGCCCGCCTCCTCTTTTACCGCCCTGCTTTCCTTGCCGCTTGCTCGACGAATCAGCATGAAGTTCCTCGCCGTCCTCGGTTCGGCCATCGCCACCGTCCTCGTCGCCACAGCGGGCTCGACGATGGCAGCCGGGCCCGTCACCTTCACCTTTGCCTCGGACGACGGCCTGGCCTACTGCCAGGTCAAGGACCCAAGCTTCAGGATCAAGCACTCGGTCTACAAGGGCTGCATCAAGGACGGATACAGGCACTGGACCTGCCTCGACATGGAGCCGGACTTTCTCTGCGACCAGTGCGGCTTCTACCCCTCCAACTACTGCTTCAACCCCACCTAGCCTGGCCATCCTCTCATTCAAGATCGGCCAGACATGCTTCTCCTAAGCCCCGGCAGCCATGGACCCGCCACGCCTGTACCGCAGATGTGGAAGAGACCCTGCTGCAATGGACGCTTGACCCACGCTCTCCTGTCCGTCTGCGCACAGCCATGATCGGGTCACCATTGCAAACGATCGCGTGGAAAAAAGAGGACAAAGTGGGGTATGGCTACAGGGATACAAGCAATAGATGGAATGCGGTGTAGGCGGATGGCCGGAAGAGAAAGTGCAAGGGTCATGATAAGCCAGGTCCAGATGGCGGCTCGTAGAAGCAGAGCGAAACAGAGCAGAGCAGAGCGAATCAGGGCGGGTGCGGCCACGCACGGGCTCGCAATCCGGGCACGGACGCCGGCGCTGCCACGCTAGACGGCCGCCGTGGCGCTGCCGGCAAAGTTGCACCGGGACAGATCCTCGTCCTCATCGACGACCGACCAGTTGTTGCTGCCCGATCGCGGTAGCGCCTCTTGCCGCTGCTGCTGAAGCTGCTGCTGCTGTTCAGTCTCGCTCGGCTCGTCCTCGGTCTCGGTCTCGGTGTCGGCCTCGGGAACCGCGCCGGCGAAGCGCAGTCCATCCTTCCAGCCGTGGATCCGAGAAATGCGCTCGCCCTCGGCCGGCCCGCTGCCGTCCTCGGCGAGCTCTGCGATCGAGTTGGAAGACGAGATGGACCGGATCGAGCAGATGCCGTCGTCGACCATGCCATCGCCGAGGCGTCGCTTCGATGCCGACGCAGACGACGACGCTGCCAGGTTGGCCAGGCACGTCTCGAGCGACATCGACGGCGCACGCCGGTACTTTTTCCCTGGCTCGCGCCGCACCGCCTCCTCGACGGGCGCAGCCGCGTTCGGCCGAGGGTGGATCAGCGTCGTCGCATCGCTGTGCACCGATGTGGCGACCGAGATGCTCGACGGGATGCGACCGGCGGTGTCCATCTCCTCGCCCGCTGCGGCCTGCGCAACCGGCCACCGCGGCGGGCCCATCTCGCCCCACTTGCTGATACGGCCCGGCGACATCACAGGCACAGCTTGCGCGTATGCCGCGGCGGGTGCTGCGCCGTCGGCTCCTTTTGCCGCTGCGGTGGCCAGGTGCGCCCTGAGGTTTCCAGAGGGGCGCGGACGGAAGCTCTCTCGCGGAACCTGCACGGGCACCTTCTTTGGCTGCATCGAGCTGCCGGTGACGTTGCGGGATCCGTACCCGCTATCGGTCGACTGCGACGCAAAGTTGCGCGTCGACGTCTTTGGCGGCGATGAGGGCATCGGGATGCGCGACGGGCTGGTGGCGGCGTGGGACGACTGGTTGCTGAAGTTGCGGTACGACGACATCGACGTCCCCGGGCGACCGACGGTGCTCGGCTGCCTGACTGCCGATGATGCTTGCCTCATCGACGTCACCCGCGACGGGGGCCCTGCCGTGGTCCTGGGCGTCTTGGTGGCCAAGCCCGTCGAGGCAGCCGGTCCAACCCTGGGCGTCTTGGTGGCCAAGCCCGTCGAGGCAGCCGGTCCAACCCTGGCCTTCTTGGTCGTCGTCGCCGTCGACAGGCTCGGCGTGATGGGCCGCAGCGGAGTCTGGGCCACACTGCCGCGGCCAGAGCCTATCGCGGGCGTGCGACCCAGCGCACTTTGAGCCCTCGTCTGCGGCGTGGGGCCCGACGCGGTTCCCGGCCGCGGTCTCTTGCGGTTCTGATTCTCCTTTGACCCCTCGATCTGGTCCAGCAGCTCGTCGAGGTATCGCACGCCGTTGATCGTGAAGGGCTCGCCATGCTCCTGCTCCCAGGCTGGGATGACTTTCTGCAGCTCGGACTCCATCTGCCGTCGGACAGGAGACAGCGTCAGAGAGAGGGGAAGGTCGTTAGTTGCAAGGCTCCTGCCGTGCCGGGCGCTCGAGGGCGGGTCTACTCACCCTCGGTTTCTGGACCTTGACCCGCTTCCGCATCTTTTCCTCCCTCAGCAACCTTCCTGGGTCACCTCTGCTTCCTCGGCCCAGCAGCCGCGCGCCATCCGCGGCGCTCTCGGCCAGCTGCCTCTCGTCGTCGAGCAGCTCCTTGTACTTGCCGATGACCTTGAGCACGGGCGCCTTGGTCCGCACCTGTTCGGTGAGATAGTCGATCATCTGCTCGTGGGACGCCAGGATCTCGTCCGTCGGCAACGGCTCGTCGTGGTCGGGCGCGCCCTCCGGGCTGACGTCGATAAAATAGGGCGGGAAGGACGCCTCGCGCTCCTCGGGCGTGAGGAAGAGGGCATCCCAGAGCGTCGCGATCCTCTCGCGGGTCTTGAGAATGAAGAGCGACATGTGCTGCGCCTTGAGCGCCCGCATCTTGTCGAGCTCGGATTGGTACTGGTGTCACGATCGGGGAAAGAGCATGAGGGACCGCAAGTCAGCATCGGCCGCGATCGCCGGCGGACCGGGTCACATCCTTGCGCGTGCAGCACTCACCGATGCGATGACATCGAGCGTGCTCCCGCGGTGGTCCATGACAAAAGCGTCCATCTCCTCTTCGGGCACATCGAACTTGGCCCACAGCTCTGCGAGCTCGTCGTAGAGGTTCTGGATCAACGCCTCCCTTCTGTGCTTTTCCGCCTCCAGCCAGCCGACCCTTCGGGCAGCCAGATCGAGGTTGGCCTCCGAAGGGTCCATCTGGTGGTTTGGGAGCGCCAGCGTGGCATTTGCGGAGGACGGGGTGGTCCGCGAGGGCAGGCGAAAGGCCATCTCGCCGCTGTGCTTGGCCGGGCGGCCGCCAAACGAGGCGCGCGTCGGCGTGCTCTCGAGCACCTCGATATCCCTCGCGGTGCGGTCGCCGTCGTCGGCGCCGTCCTGCTCTTCGCCTTCCGTCGAGGCAAACTCGCCTTCGAAGATCCCGGCATCGTTGTACAACGGGCGCAGCTGGAGATGCGCAAGGACCGCGCGATCAAAGGAGACGGGAGCCCCGCCGCAGTCGAGATCGTCTGGCGAGCGAGAATCTCCGAAGACGCCCTCATCGCCGAGGTCGAGTGGACGACAGGGCTCGAGAACCAGCTCGGTCCAGAGGCGGGTGATTTCGTGCAGGCTGTTGCGAAGCCGCTCGATCCTCTGGTTGACCTCCTTCGAGCACCGAATGATCTCGGCCTCGATGGCCGAGATGCACGACTGAGAGACGTCCTTGAGCTCGCTCAGGGAGCCTGGTCCGGACGACGGTGGAGCCGCGCGCGGTGGCGTCCGTACGTAGGTGCCGAGCAGCGGTCGATAGGTCTCGAGCTTGTTCAACAGGCGCTCGACATGCGCCTCCTTGGACGTGTAGAGCGCCTTGATTCTCTGCCGATCCGAGGAGAGCTGGCTCTTGCGTTGGAGCAGTGGCTTTGAGATTTGGCATGCGCGGAGCAGGATGGGAGCAAAGCCAGGTGGGCTCGGGTCAGCGGCGGAACGACATGAGGGTGTACAACGTCCGTCAGGCTCTCACCAATTTTGCCAGCTCCGCTGCGTCCAGCGTCAGGCCACACGAGCTGTAGCTCGAGCTCGACGAGGACGACGATGCGTTCGAGAAGATGCGCCTGCCTGCTGCTGTGTTGTTGGGCTGCGTCGCGCTGTTGTCGCCCAGCGCCGAACGCAGGTGGGCTATGTCGTCGTGGATCGCGTCGCACTCGGCCTTGAGGCCTTGGGCCTCGCCTTCCACCTTTGCGATCTGGCCATCGACTGCGCCCTTGAGCGCCTGGTGAAGCAGCTCGAGAGCATCCTGAAGCGCGTTGGGCGGATGTCCGATCTCGGCGTGGAGCGAGGAGAGGCGGTCGGTGGACTGAGAGAGGAGCGCTGTGAGCGCCGCTACGTCCATGTTGTCGACCGGAAGAGAGGCAGAGCACGAGTGTGGCAAGCCACAGTGGCAGTGGTTGTGGTTGTGGTCGTGGAGCGGAGAAGAGCGCAGTGGTGCAGGGCAGAGCAGTAGAGACGATTCGAAAGGGATGTAGGGGAATGGGCTGCTGCTGCTACTCCCGGCGCTCCATGGCCCAGGGGTTCGTGGGCCGGCGATGGCGCGTCGGATGAGAGGGGTTGGCGTTGGCTGCGGACGGTCTGCGCTTCGCAATGCGGCGCGGCGTGAAGGCGATGAGGGGATCCGGAGAGGTGGCCTGGCGGTGGTGGCGGCGCCGGTGGTGATGGATGATGGTGGAGGCTCGATGTTGGTGTGCTTTGCCCGGGCAGGCAGGCCTCGGCGCGCGCGCGCTCGGCGCGTCCTGGCGGCTGCCTGCCTATCGTGGCAGGTTAGGCACCAGGCTGGCTGGCGTGGCTTTGCCCTTGGAGCTTTGTGTTGCTCTCCCGCCTGCTTCGGTTTCGGTTCAGGGTGGGTCACGTGCAGGACTCGGGCGCTCGGTCGGATCCAGCCGCTCGCTGGCTGGTCGGTGCTCGGTGCGCCCCCTTGAGACGACGCAGGCCTCAAGCAGGCGATGTCGATCAGCGGCCAGGCTCCACTCAAGCAAGTGAGCATGGCGCCTCGCCTGCTTGCCGTCGCCGGATGGATCGTGGACCTTGTCGAGGTGGCGAGCGGCCACAGCAAGCAGATGTGCAGATCAGCGAGCGAGCGGGCGAGGCGTGTGCTGCCAGGCCGGCCTGCAGGGGAGATTTATGCGGGCCCTGCTGTTTGGCAGGCTGTTTGGCAGGCGGGCGGAAATCCAAAACGCGAGAGGTGGACGGCGCGCCTCCTCGCCGACGCCGCTGGCCGCTGTCGTCGTCGTCGTGTCTCTTTGGGGCGATTCATCATCCCGACACCATCCCTCTGACTTCTCACCATCTCTTTCTTCCGCCGCGCAGCGCACCATAGACATCGGAATCGGCCGGTGCCCCTGCAAGTTTCGCCGCAGATGCCGAGCGTGCCGACGGGCACAAGCTGATGCGCACGGCTTTGTTATCGGCTCGGCCCCGCCCCTTCCCGCGTCCACTTTCACCCCCGGCAATACCGAGGAACCGGATAGGGCCCAGCCGCCGCCACCATTTCCAGAATCGCTGCTGCTCACGCCATGTCGAACGTGCCAGATTCTGGCTCCATCGACGCTCCGCAGCCTTCGTCGGAACCAGAGGAGCAACAGCAGCAGCAGCAGTCGCACGAGGAGCCAGGAACGCACTCCCCTCGCGCGTCTACGCCTCTTGGACCGCATCCTCAGTCGCCGCCCAAGAAGCCACCATCTCCGATACCCGCCGAAACATCCGCAACATCCTTCGTTGACCATGGCGCCGCCGACGCCGCGACAGAAACGTCGAGCGCGACCGAGCCGAACTCTTCGCCTCCGCTCGGGGCTGTCCGCCAGGATTCCAGCTTGCAGGGGCTCGGCATCAACTTAGACACAGGCGCCCCTGCCAGCACCGCATCGATAACTACCCCAGCAGGCTCGCTCGAGAGCGGGAACGCCGAAGAGCATGGCGACGATGCGGGCGCGGACCGAGCGGCCAAGGACGAGGCCGACGCGAGAAAGGCCGCGATACAGCCTGCGGTCGCGTCGTCGGTGCCAGACTGGATGACCGACGAGCTCGACGAGTCCTGGCGGGAAGCCAGCCAGAGCAACAGCCTGTCGAATGCAGCCGCCATCAACGAAGGGCCTGCAACGCAGTCAGCAAACACAGACCTGCCAGTCGCGGCCCCCGGGCCTACATCTGCGGCGCTGCAAGAACAGGCTACGGCGACCATCCCGACGCTCGGATCGGTGCGGCTTCCGACGTCGGGCCTAGGGTCCCGCTCTGTCTCGACGGTGGGAGGCTTCTTTGATGCCCGCGAGTCACTCGGCCGCAGCGGCATGCGTTCGAGCGCCCTGTTGCAGGGCGATAGCGCTGGCTACCGGAGGTCGAGACTTGGCATGGAACGCTCCCTGACCGACACAGAGCTGCAAGCCGGGCCGTCGACGCCTTCGAAGCGCGTGCCGAGCCACGCCGTGAGAAGGACTGTGCGGACCGGCGAGGATCAGGAAGGAGACGACGACGACAACAGCGGCGGCGGCGACCGAGGTGCGCACGGTGGGACCGAGGACCGCGCCGGCTCGAGATCGCCGTCCTCGGCGCCAGAGGACTTTGAGAGCGCCCGCGGGTCGCTCATCGAGCGCTCGAGGCGCCACGCCGAGACCAGCGCCTCTGATGATGGCAGGGGCACCTTTATCCACCGAGCAGACGTCTCGTCGCTGCCGCCAATTTTGAGGCCTGCATGGCAAAAGGCTCAGGACCGAGACGGCGACCCGCACAGCCCAAAGAAGAAGGGGGGAATGTCGGCCATTGGGGGAGACATGTTCACGCCCATGAAGCTACAGACCATGTTCCGGACACCGACGCCGCCACAGCGACCGCCAATGACGACGACTTCGGACCATGCGCCGGACGAGACGCCGCGCCCGAGGGACGACATCGAAAGGACGCCCAGGATGAAAGGCGGTGCTCTTGCCGACGACGATCGAGCGCCACCAGCACAGATCACACCTGCGCCTCAGGCAGGCGAGACGTCGGGACGGACCGGCCTCGAGGCTAAGCTGCCCTCGGCCGCCTTCACTTTCCGCACGCCACAGGCGGGCACTGCCCTGTCGGCAACGCCGAGGCTAGATCCTGCCACTCCCGCGGCAGCAGTGCCCGGCCAACCTCGGGCAGCTCGAGCCTCGGCCAGACCTGCTTCGGCCGCCGCTGCCTTCGTCCACGGCGGCACCAGTCCGCTCCCTCCAGTCGCCAGCCACCAGATGCTGTCGGCCCCCTCGACGCCGCACACGCCGATGCGGCTGTTCAAGTTCAACTACGAGGACGTGGCGACCCGCGCTCGCCTCGAGATGCTCGTCAACCGCAACGGCACATCCGCCGGCGACACGATGGGCGGAGGCGAGACGGAGCGGGAACGCAAGCGGCTGCGGCTCGACGTCAAGCCCCGCAAGGTCATCAGCGGCGACCTTATGGCCATGCGTTCCGACGCGCTTCCGACGGCGACGCTGCCCAGTTCCCCAGAGGCAGGCAAGGCCACGCGCGATGGCCGTCCGTCGGCCGTGGATGTGCCTCAATCCGATCCAAAGGTTCTGCGCGCGACGGGCACGGGGTCGTCGAGGGCGGAGAAGCCTGCCGTCCAGCCTGCTGCCATCCAGCCTGCTATGCCTTCTCCGTCCAAGTCGGTTTTGCTGCCTCCGATCGTCGACTATGTCAAGGAGGCGCCCGTCTACATGTCCGCCCTCCAGCAGCAGATGGTGAGGAGTGTATCCGACATTACGGCCAGCTCCCGGGCGTGGGTCACCGATGAGGACAACGGCGGCGGTGCAAGCGGCAGCAGCGGCGGAAACGACGAAAGCGACCGCGACCTCAGCGCTGAGCACGACGCCCGGCTCGCACTGCATCGGCATGCGGACGACAGGCAAGAGCTCCTCCCATTCCACCAGGGCTCGGTCCAGGTCATCTCACCGCTCAGGGAAACGCGGTCGCCGAACCGCCGGTGGAGACAGCGCCGCTCGGCCGTGCGGCACGCTCGCGATGCGGATGCCACCGAGGATATTTCGTCTACCACTCGATCTCTGGCCTCTCGATCGCCGTCCGGCAGCCCTCTGCGCCTCTCGACGAGACGCCTGCCGCAAAATTCCTCGTTCAACCAGGCGTCGATCCGCGGCGGCGAGGATGGCAACGACGGCGTCGACGAAGCAAGCATGCCCCCAATGTCATCGACGGTCAGGTCACGCAAGAGCTGGGTCTCTGCCTCGCAGGCGGTCAACGGCCTCCGCAAGGAGGAGTCGCCTCGGAAGCTGCTACGCCGCTACAGCGCAGCCGCCCAGGCCGAGGAGGAGGTCATGGACGAAGGCGAAGACCGCCTGTTCCTGCATTACAGAGACACGGCGCTCGGTGGCAGCTCCGGACCAGATCCGAACCGCCACTGGAGCGACGAGTCGTTCCAGCGGGAGCTCAAGATCAAGGAGCTCGAGGAAAAGCTGGCTCGCCGAGCCGCTGAAAAGAGGCGCGCCGATCGCAGCGAGAGCCGCAGCTGGAGTCGCGAGAGCGAGGCGGTCGCAGCCGGGGCGTCCGAGGGGCAGAGGCCCTTCTCTCGGCCGCAGTACATTACCTTGCACGAGCCGACCCTGGAGGATGCCAACAACGTCCCGGACGACAGGGGAGTACGGGTGCGTCGCTCCGACGAACACCACGACGACCAGTCGGATACATGGGAGGACGACCCTGCCGAGGCCGCGGAGGCCGGCGCTACTCGGAGGGTGCAGGACGGCATCGTCCTCTACGATTCCGAGCGGGTATCGATGTCCGAGCCAGCCGCGCCGCCGACGCGAACCCTTCGCAGCGTCGTTTCCGAGGCTCAGCTTCGACCCTCTGCCGATGCATACGGCGTGAGGAGGGGCTACCAAACATGGCAGGAAGCGGGGCCCTCCCGCCAGGAATGGCAGGAGCGTGCGCAACCGTCACTGCAGCCGCAGCGGCACCGGCAGCAGCACAGCGTCGACTTTGCCGGACCGCGCCATCCATCGACTGCGAGCGTCGGAGCCAAGCCGAATTTCGCATCGTCTTCAAGATACCTGTCTTCGGGCTACGGCGATGACGAGGGTTGCCGCGGCGAGCGAACCGTGTCGTCCAACACGCTGGTCGACGACCGGAACCGGGAGTCCTACGACAGCCGCGTCAACCTCAATGCCAGTATCCGCAGCACCCTGGCTCTCGGGGCCGATCCCAGCGCGATCGTCAACAGCCTAGGTGGCGCCACAATCACGCGCAAGGGAAGCATGCTCAACATCAGCCAGATCCCGGACGAGGAAGTCGAGCAGCTCGGCGGCGAAAATCTGCGCTACGACAGAGAAAGGAATCGCTGGATCAAGGTGTCCAAGAAGCCCTCGTCGGAGAGCCTCAGGGGTCAGGCCAGCGCGGTGGCGACAGAGTCTGCCAACGATCTCGGCGACACAGCCAGGGGTCGGGGCTCTGCGTTTGGGCGGCGCAGCACCACTCGCACGCCCGTCGAGCCCATGATACCCGAGGCTTCGATTGAGACCTCGCAGGCAGGGATGCTGCAAGAGACGTCGTCGGGCGCACAAAGCCGGGCGCAGGCGAGATCAGGCCAACACGGCAATCCAGCTGTCCTTCCGTCTGCAGGATTCACGAGCGCGGCTGTCGAGAACAGCATCGCACAGGACGGCAGGCTAAGCGACAGCAGTGACCCTTTCAAGGACTTCGAGAGCTTCGGACAAAGCACCACGGCGGCGGACCACAGCGTCGCAGAGGCACGACCGCAAAGCAAGGCGGATTCCACGGCGGAGGACAGGCATGCGAGCACTGCTCCTGATCCGAGCGCTGGGATGCGTCAACAGCCGCCCATCGAAAAGACCGTGCGGAAGCCGACGCAGAGGCCGAACCTGACTCCCGCCGCTTCGCAGCCTGCCCTTCCAACATACTCGACGCCCTTGGCGAGCCAGGCCCGCGTCGTCTCCGGACCACCGGCCTTCCACTCAGTGCAGCGGCCGATCAATACGATGCCGAGGGCGCAGTCCGCGCTGCGCAACGTCGTCACCTACAGCCCGGACGTCACGATGCGTAGCAGCGGAAGCGCGACGACTGCTGAAGGCGGCACCGTCGAAGTGCGAGCGCCGGAAGCAAGCTCAGCGCAGGAGCGCGATGCCGTTCAGACGCAGCGCCAAGTGCAACCTCCGGCGGATGCCCAACACGAGGCTCGCCAAAGCAGAGCCGGCGATCTGGCAGCTGCTCCGCCAACTACGCGAGCGCAGCGCACCGAGCGCAACCTGGCCGAGCGCAATTTGACCGAGGCAGCCGGTCGGCACGATCTGCACCCGGCGACACCTGAGCGGCGCAACACGGCGCCAGCCGCCAGCTACCTCACGCCGCCGAGGTCGATCCTCAAGCCATCGCCCTCCTCGCACACTGCTGCAGGCCAGAACTCGAGGTCGGGCGACCTCTACCGTGCATCGCCGAATCCAGCGAGTGCGAACAGGACCATCAGCTTCGCAGAAGCTCACACACTGCACCGGTATGAGGGGCCACAGTCGGCACGGCATCACCGAGACAATCAGCTCGCTGCCGCCACCGATGCAGACGCTAGCGACCTGAGCCAGAGCATGGATGTGGACTGGAGCGAGGAAGCGGACGACGACGACGACGACGACCGGACCGCCCGGCAAGGTGCTTACGGCCGCGAGCGCTGGACCGCACCGCAGGCTGCCGACGGACCGACCTCGACCATGAACCGCACCGACGCCATCTCGCGAGCCCTTCAGCAGCTGGCCGACCTGACGTTGCAGTCCGAGGCAGGTCCCAAACCGGCAGCTAAGCCGTACAATGCCGGGACGCCCTCGACGAAACGGCGGATACCCTCACACACGGCTGCCGGGGATGCGGCCGATGGGCGGTCACCCTGGTCATACGCCGCCCTCCGCCGGCCTCGCAAGGTGCGGGACCCGTACCGGTACGACGACGATGAGGACGGAGAGGCGGTCGACGACACCTACGACGAGCTGCGGGGCTACCCGGACATGACGTTGCTGACCGACGCTTCGTTCAACGTGGCGCACGATAAGATCCTCGAGGTCATCACCGACGTCGAGCCATGGGAGCCCGGGTGGGAGCAGCTCCAGGCGATCGATATGAGCGGGCGTCGGGTGGAGTCGTGCTTGCGGCTGAAGGAGTTTCTGCCCAGCCTCGAGGAGGTCAAGCTGGACCGCAACGAGCTGGCCTACCTGACGGGTTTGCCGCCCAGCGTGCGGAACCTGTCTATCAGCCGGAACCGCATCACGCAGCTCGCCTCCTTTGGCCAGCTCCTCAACCTCGAGAGGCTCGACATCAGCCACAACCAGATCGAGACCCTCAGCCACCTCGAGTGCTTGAAGCACCTCCACACGCTCATCGCCGATCACGTCCACGTGTCGTCGTTGGACGGCATCAACCGCCTTCCCGGCCTGGTTCACCTGAGTCTGTCCGGCAACCTGCTGAGGGGCGTCAACCTGGAGCGGACCGCATGGCGGGATCTCGAGACGCTCAACCTCTCGCACAACGCTCTGATCACAGTGCGCGGCCTCGGCACGCTCCGGCGGCTGAGGTCGCTCAACCTCGATCACAACCGACTTTCGCGCGTCGACTTGGAACCCTCGATGCCAAAGCTGCGCGCGATGCGGATCAGCGGCAACCCTTCGCTCACCAGCCTGGACGTTTTGCCGGCGAGGAAGCTGCGCACCCTCTACGCCGACTACTGCGCGCTCGACTCGATCCAGAATCTCGAGAGCCTGACGCGGCTCGACAACCTCAGCATGCGCCAGCAGGTCGAGGCGCGCGTCGTCTGGCCGGCCCGCCACCTGCGCGACACGCGCCGCCTGTTCTTCTCGGGCAACGCGTTCCCGCAGGGGCTCGATTTTGAGGCGCTGCCGAGCGCCGCCTCTGCCACTTCGCCACCCGAGCTGCAGCTGCGTCGGCAACCGGCACCGATGGTCCGCTTCCTCAACCTCGTCTACCTCGAGCTGGCGGCGTGCCAGCTAACGGCGCTGCCCGTCGAGCTACCGGAGCTGGCGCCCAACCTGCGGTCGCTCAACCTCGACCACAACCTCATCTCGACGCTGCCGCCTCTCGCGGGAATGCAGCGTCTCAAGAGGCTCAGCGTCGTTGGGTGCCGCATCAAGAAGTCCAAGTCGATCATCAAGGCGATTCGCGGGCTCGACGAGCTGCAGGTCATTGACACGCGCACCAACCCTTGCACCCTGGGCCTCTACCCTCCGCTCATGATCCCAGCCGGCGCCCTGGATCCGGCTCGTCCAGGTGGGCAGGGCTACAGCAGCCCCTCGGTCGCAGCGGCCCACCTCCCTCCCGTGCCCAGCCCCGCCGTCGTTCAGCCAGATCGCGCCAGGCACGACGCCAAGCGCGCCGAGAGCGACAGGCGCGCCGCCGAACGGCAGGCGGAAAAGTCGTATTTCCACAAGCGTCAACCCCCGCTTGTCGATCCGGCGCTCTACGACGACGATGACGAAGACGGCGAGGATCGTGGTTATGGCTACGACGACGACGACGACCGCATCTCTGCAGCTGGTGGTCATGGCGAGACGAAGGTAGACGAGCGCGGAAGGGCAGTGACGCAGCCCAGCGTCACGGCCCTGTTCCTTGCCGCCGACCAGCGTTTCTACGGCACGCTCCCTGCCGGATTCCAGGAGAAGCGCGCGCTCCACCGCGGCCTCATGGCCATGAGCTGCGCCCGCCTCAGCTGGGTCGACGGCCTCTTTATCGAGGAGGAGGAAGTCCTGAGGGCCGAGGAGATCGTCTATGCCCAGCAGCGCGGTCAGGCCGAGGGGCGGTGAACGGCCCCAGCTGCCATTTAGACCGCGACCGGCTCGAGGGCGGCGATTTCTTGCCATTGCTTGGTCAATGAGACGTGCATCCCAAATCCACTCCTCCTTGTACTCCCCTCGACAGTCGTGTAGCCTGCTGCTATCCCTCTACGAACTCTGCCTGCTACGAAGAATGTACTTGTACCGATCTCGCTGTTCCCCAACGATGCCCTGTACCGCTTTAGAACCACGCAGCCCGTTGGCAGCGCCTCGAGAGCGCCTCACAGCGTTCTGACGCTCCTCATCTGCGTCGCCGCGTCTTCGACGTCGTCGTCCGCCTCGGCCTCATCGTTTGCCTCGTTGCGAAGGCAGTTGTCGAGGTAGGCCCTCAGCTTGAATGCGAGCGACGAGACGCCGCCCTTTTTGTGGCACACGACGCTGCACAGCGCCACGATGATCTCCTCGGCGAGCAGCGTATCCTTTGCCCTGCGCAGGAGCGTGTCGAGGTGGCGCGCATCCCGACGCTGCGACTCGGCAGAGTCCGGCGCGGTGCCGCAAGCCTCTCCGGACAGGGTCGCGTCGACGAGGCGGGCATCGATGACGCCGCCGTTGAGCACTAGTCGGGCGAGTTCGTTGCGTCGTCGTCTCGGCGCCGATTGCAGCGCCAGCACCGCCAGCGCCTTGATTAGCTGGTCCAGGGCGAGCTTCAGCTCCTCGTCGCCGTCGACCGTGGCAGCCATCTTGGTGAGGGCAAAGGCGCAGGGCAGGAGGCCGCGCCAGTGTGGGCCTCGGTTGGCCAGGAACATGGCGAGGCTTTCGACCGCCAGCCTCCACTGGCCCATCTCGACGCTCAGCTGCCCCATCGACAGCGCCGTACCGGGGCAGATGGTCCAGTTCTGGAGCTTGAGCCGGTCGTTGTTGACCACCAGCAGATCGTTGGCTGGGTCCCGGACGACAAGGTTGCGGAAGCCACGATCGAGGTCGCCGGCTCCTCGGCGCACTTCTGTGTAGGCGACGTTGAGCAAGCCCAGGGCGATGCTGCGGACAGGGTGGTTGGACAGATGGTAGAGGCTGTCGTGCGACGGGCCCGAGTCAGGGGGCCTTTCGAGTCGGGCCGTCCAGGTTTCGACGCTGATGTCTGCGCCAAAGCTGGCAGGGTCCCACGCCGCAGAAGTCGGCTGGGACTGCAGCTTGGCCAGGCTCAGGACACTGCGTAGCCCAGCGTCGAGGAGCTCTTTGGTGGGTCCCTTGACATCACCCGTTGCCCTCTTGGTGGCCTTGGTCTTGGTCGCCGGCTTCGCGGGATCCGTAAGCTCGGAAGAGCGCGGCGGACGAGGGAACGGGTCGAGTGGGTTTGCAGTCTCGATATCGAGCCGTAGTGGCAGGTCCATCGAGTATAGGAAGGAGGTAGCGTACGCAAGGGCGAGGTCGAACCGGCCGGTCGAGTAGAGGTAGTCGATGGTCCATTCTGTTGCAGGAGCGCGAAGAAGCGTGGTCGCACGAGTCAGCTATCAATCTTGTCAGGCTCTCGGCGCCGAAGCAGCGCAGTCTCTCGCTCACCCTGGTCGAGCGACTGGCGCTTGTTCTCTATCCGCGCTCGCCTCAGCTCGGTCGGAGATGGGACGCGGAAGCGCGCCACATCGACTTTGCCGTTGGCATCGCGGAGCGAGGACGACGACGGCAGGTACCATGCCTCGTCCTCGATCTTGACGGTATAGTCCCTGCGTGCGCGCTGGAAAGCAGCTTCGAGCCTGGCTGCTTTCGGATCGACGGGGGCGTCGTCGGTCGCTGCTGGCGAGGTGCTCTCGCCGATGCTGAGCGTGATGTCAAAGTTGCCAAAGAGGCCATCCTCGACGTTGGACAGGTCGACCTGGTCCGCCTCTGTCGTTGCCGGCGGCGCAGGCGTAAGTCTGGGTGGTTCCATGGTAGCAGCTTCGGTATGAATGAGAGGGAGAAGGGGAAGGAAGGGGTCGTCGGTCGTTGCCGTGGTCGAGTCGAGTCAAAGTGGTCGTGGTCGTAGCCGTCCGCGTGGTGGAGGCGAGGCCAGGAAGAAAGGTGCAGCAGGCTGCCTGCAACTCAAATTTCCCGATGGGCACCGAAATTCATGAATCGGAAGAGTTTTCCCGATCGTGATCCGGCTGGCTCGTGCGAGGTTGAGCTTGCGTGGCAGGCCGGCCTGCTTTGCTGAGTGAAGCCGAGCCAGGCCAGGGCAGGCCGGCCACAGCCGTGTTCAGGGTCCGAGGGGCGGGCAGCGGGGGCCCACCCTGCTAGAGAGCAGGTGTTGCTGGGGGCTGTGGCGAGCCTCTGACATCCGCTGTTCCGGGGCTTTGCCGTCATCACACCACCATCATCTCCCTCGCCCCTCGCCCCTGGCTTGAACTTCGGAGTCGTTGCCGACACAGAACGCGGGCTCAACGGCTGGCTTCCGATCCGTTCTCCTCTGCCCGCCTCGGCCTTATCCGACTCGACGTCGCTCGTTGAATCGCTCGCTCGCTAGCCCGTCCGCCTGTCCCGCCATGCGTTGGACGCTGTCGGCAGTGGCAGCCGCTGCCTCTGCGGCGCTGCTGCTTTCGGCCGCCACAGCAACCTTTGGACACGCTGCAGGCATCAACGGATCCAACCCTGCCTACATAGACTACTACCGAAATGGCCTTGTCAGCAAGCTCTCGGATCGCCCACCCAACTGCCCGCCATGCCCCGAGCCCGACTGCTTCAACTGCCAGCTGCCCGCCTACGACTGCGCCCAGTTTGGCGATTGCAATCAGTATGACGGGACGTGCTCATGCCCCACAGGTTTCGGCGGTCAGGACTGCCTCTCTCCGTTGTGCGGTAGTCCCGCTGACGGCAAGGAGCGCTACCCGCGGCGCCCCGACGAGGAGCGATGCCAGTGCTCCGAGGGCTGGGACGGCCTCAACTGCAACGTGTGCAAGACCGATGCGGCCTGCGCGGACATGACGCTCGGAGGCGAGAGGCTTGGAGAGAACGGCACCTGCTACGACGGAGGCTTCACCATCAAGCAGTCGTTCCAGGAGTGCGACGTCACCAACCGCAAAATCACCGACATGCTGCCGGACCGCAAGCCCCAGGTCACGTTCAGCTGCCTCAAGGACGACGAGACATGCAACTTTCAGTTTTGGATCGGAGGCCGCGAGAGCTTTTATTGCGGGCTCGACCGCTGCACCGAGACGCTCGACATGCAGCCGGGCTCCAACCGCACCCGGCACACGTGCGAAAAGGTGCGCTGCAGCTGCATCCCCGGACGCATGCTCTGCGGAGAGTCGGGCAGCATCGACATCTCCGAGTTCCTCTCTGAAGAGATCAAGGGGCCCGGCTCAATGACCTGCAAGACCGACGGCTCCGGCGCGCGCAAGTGCCGCTTCGAGGAGCCCGGCATGAACTCGCTCATATCGGACGTCTTTGGCGACGAGGCCATCTTCCTCAGCTGCGGCTCGGGCGAGTGCGTCCACTATAGCCAGGTGCCCGGCTACGAGGCGCCCATCGCACCCAAGCGGCCCATTGTCTGGGTCATTGTCAGCGCCATCAGCGCCATCGTTGTCGTCGTGCTCACCGTCGGCATGCTCTGGGCCCTCGGACGCCATTACAAGGACGACGACCTCCGCCTCGGCGCAGTCCGCCTGCCCCAGGAGGAGGCCGACCTGATGAAGGATCACATCCCTGCTGCGCTCCACTGGGAGAACATCGGGTACCGCGTCGGCCAAAAGGCGTTGCTGCAGGGCATCGACGGATCCGTCCAGCCGGGTCAGGTCATGGCCATCGTCGGCGCGAGCGGCGCTGGCAAGACGACCTTCCTCGACCTTCTCGCGCGGCGCGACAAGCGCGGCGTCACGTCGGGCACCGTCCTCGTCAATGGCCGCCAGCTCAGCGACTCAGACTTTAAGCGCGTCGTCGGCTTCGTCGACCAGGAGGACCTCCTGATGGAGACGCTCACCGTCTACGAGACCGTTCTCTACTCGGCGCTGCTGCGGTTGCCGCGCGACATGTCTCTGGAGGCCAAGAAGTTCCGCACCCTCGAGACGATGCAGGAGCTCGGCATCCTCGGGATCAAGGACAGCCGCATCGGCGGCAGCAGCTTCTCGGCCGGCGGCAGCAAGGAGGGTCGCGGCATCAGCGGTGGCGAGAAGCGCCGCGTCTCGATCGCCTGCGAGCTGGTCACCAGCCCCAGCATCCTCTTCTGCGACGAACCCACTAGCGGCCTCGACGCCTACAACGCCTACAACGTCGTCCAGTCGCTCGTGACGCTGGCCCGCACCTACAACCGCACCGTTGTCTTTTCCATCCACCAGCCTCGCTCCAACATCGTGGCGCTCTTTGACAGGCTGCTGCTGCTGGCCGAAGGTCGGACCGTCTACTCGGGCCCCTTCACCGAGTGCGCTGGGTATTTCGAGCGTGTCGGGCACCCTTGCCCTTCTGGCTTCAACATCGCCGACTTCCTGATCGACCTCACGGCACGACGTTCCGTGACCGGCGCAGCGGCCAACGGCGAGAGCGGCGCGATCGTCGGCGATGACGAAGACGACGACACGACAGCGCAGGACACTTCGTCCTCCGCGCGGCCCTCGTACTCGTCCACACCTGGGCGCGACGAAGAAGCAGGCACAGCCACCGACACGCAGGACTCGACGGAGCTTCAGACGCGGCCGTCGTCGCTCCAGGATGGCGATGGCAGCGTTGGAGGCACGCTGCGCAAGAGGACCAGCCGCCTCGCCGATGGCCTCCGCAACGCCTTCACCAACGGCAATGGGAACGGCAGCGACGTCGCCATGCCTAAGTTAAGCAGCCGCCGCCTCTCGAAGCTGGTCCACGAGTTTGCCAAGAGTGACATCGCGCGTCGCAATGCCGGCGAGATGGATGCGTTCCTGGGCCGCACCAGCGAAGAGGCCGACGGCGCGGCGACGGGGCCCGCTCCGGTCAATGACCTGCCAGACATCTCCAGGCAGAATCGCCTCCACAAGTCGTTCAAGAAGGCGAGCCTGTGGACCCAATTCACCATCCTCAGTGGCAGGGCCTTCAAGAACCTCTACCGCGACCCGATCCTCATGTTTGCGCACTTTGCCCTGGCGATCCTGCTGGCGTGTGAGTTTGCCTCGGTCGTTTGTTCGCGCAGATGCCGTAGTGCTCCGACTGACCCTACCCTGCTGCTTCCAATCTTGCCGATCTTCGTTCCACCGTCACAGTGTTCTGCGGAGTCCTCTACCGGGGCATCACCAACGACATCTCGGGCTTCCAGAATCGCCTCGGCCTCTTCTTCTTTGTGCTATCGTTGTTCGCCTTCAGCACGCTCACCTCGCTCACCGTCTTTGCCAACGAGCGAGCCCTGTTTGTCCGGGAGCGGAGCAACGGATACTACTCGCCGCTGACCTACTTTACCTCCAAGGTGAGTTCTCTGTCCGATCGTGCATCCAGCGGATGATCCATGGCCGCGTCCGTCTCGTCGTGCTGACGGCATCCTCTTCTTCATGCGACGACCACCCGCCAGCTCCTATTCGACATCCTGCCGCTGCGGATCATCCCGCCATTCCTGTTCGGTGGCTGCGTCTACTTCCTCGTTGGGCTGGTGCCGGGCGTGGCCGAGTTCTGGAAGTTCATCTTGACCCTGGTGCTCTTCTCGCTCGCGGCGTCGTCGGCCGTCTTTTTCATCTCGATCGCCATCAAGGACACGGGGCTCGCCAACCTGGTGGGCAGCCTGACGATGCTCTTCAGCCTGCTCTTTGCCGGCCTGCTCATCAACCGCGACCGGATCCCAGGGTACCTGCGGTGGCTGCAGCACCTCAGCTTCTTCCACGCCGCCTACGAGGCGCTGATTGTCAACGAGTTGAGGAGTGAGTGCCGGTCAGGTAGATGGATTCAAATCCCGCCTCGGACTGTTTATGCTGACCTGGTTCCTTCTTTTGCCGCCGCCGCCGGTGCTGACTGCGACAGATCTGAGCCTCAAGGAGCACAAGTACGGCATCGACATCGAGGTGCCGGCGGCCAGCGTCATTTCGACATTTGGCTTCAACTCGCAGGCCTTCTGGTGGCCCGACATTGCCACGCTCGCCATCCAGTTCTCGGTCCTGGTCGGCCTATCGCTCCTCTGGCTCGTCCTCTTTGTCAAGGAGAGGAAGTGAGGCCAGGCTGGTGGCCCTCGGCCTTTCCCCCCCGGCGATGGACGTGGCCAGACTCTGAATGTACTCCTCGTCTCCTGGTGCCCTCGGTCTGCCTTCGCAAATGCTCAGACCCATGCTCGTATGCGGCGCGGTCCGGACCGGAAGGTTTGGTGTGTCGTTGCTTCGATGCCCTGGGTCATGCTCGGTCGGACGATGAGTTTCGCCGTCTTAGAGTCCGACCCTGTATCGATGGCAGGAATCATGTCGTTACGCCTTCATCCGCCCATGGGCATCGGGTGGTCGTCTAACAGACGCCGTTCTGCCGTACGCCTCGGAGGCCGATCTCGGCCAGTTGAAAGCAGGGAAACACATGTATGCGCCGTACGGTCGGAGGGCGTCGATGCACGGATCGACCATGCGGCAGCGGTCATTTTTTCTTTTTGCTCTCGTCGCCCGCACGGCGCCGTTGTGTGCAGGATCGGATGCGAGGACGTCTTCGATGTGCAGGTCTGACAATACGCGACGACGCCTACCTAGGCCTGGGGGAGCTGAGGAGCGATGGCAAAACGAAGGACCGAGAGGCAGGCTAGCGGTAGAAAAGCAGGCAGGCACGCCAGAGGCCTGGACGTCGTCTGGTGGCAACGCGAAGTGGAGATCTCGTCAACCGGATGGAAAAAGTCGCAGCATCGTATCATATGCATGTGCATGGTGGCCTGCCTGTCTGCCTGCTTGCTTGCAAGAGGCCAGGCGGGTTTGTGCCCCACAATCACGTCCTGCGTCTGCTGCCATGACCCGTACCGCGTGCAAAGTCGCAGGGAGATACAGTTTCGGTCCGAGCCGTCGTCGTGTGCGGATGCACCTCGATCTCGACCGACACACGTACTAGCTCTAAGCCTAAGCCCGGACAACCCCCGCTTCTAAGAATAGCAGGCCAGGCGGGGAAGTGACGTCGCCCTGCCCTGTCCCGTCCTGTCATGTCCTGGTCGGTCTTTGCGATCTCGCCGTCACTTCCGTCGTTGACTTGTCGTTGCAGCGACAGGACCTCGGCGGCGCATTGCTATATTGAAACAATCGTGTGGAAGCGTTGGACCTCCTTTGCAGCCCTCTCATCCTGCCATGATAGATGAGATGTAGGGTGAAGAGAGCAGAGACAAGGCGCCAGGGGGGTTGCACCTGCCGGATTTCTTGGACGGCCTGGCCTCGTGCGCGCGTCTCGAAGTTCGCTCCGAGAACTGAAGAGAGATCGGTCGATGGCAGAGCGAGGCAAAGCAAGGCGGGACGCGACGTGCGATCCGAGCTCAATCGCGAGAGCGGAGGCAGCAGTGAATGAAGTAGTGATCGCGGCGAGCCGTGCTCTTCAATCAGCAGCGTATCGCAAGGGACCCCGCCCCGCTCCCCTGGCAGCAGAATGCGGCGCTGCTCGAGAGGGCGCTCGTCACCGCGTCCCATGAGCTAGCCCTTGCCTGCGCCTCTCTGACGCCCTCGACGGAGGTCTCAGATGTACCGGTTTTGAGATCGGCGTCGCATAAAACGCCTCTGACCGCCGCCGCCGCCACAAATCAAGCAAAAATCTGCCCTCTTTCCTCGCCGCGCTGACCAACGACGGCGGCGGCGCAACGTCGACTCCCGGCCCGGCCTGCCTGGCATGAGCGACGGCCTTCTGGCTTTCACGACACAAGTGCGGGGCTTGATCCCCCGTCTGTTACATAAATATGGAGTCGGTTGCTCGTATATGGCCGTGCAGACATCTGATGGTTTCGGCAACGAAGCTAGACGAAGCCCTACAGTACCCGATCTATTCGTGCGGCCCAAGCGTTACATATGATCCCTTTCGCTATTGTATGATTGGCTGGCGAAGCGCCGCTTTGCTTTTGGCACTCTCTCTCTGTTCGACCTTGCGCGCGAGAAGGCTGCTGACGGCGGGCCAGTGAAGGCAAGGCAGCTTTTGATGGGCCTTGCCGTCTCTGAGCGAGGCTTTGCTTGCTCTGCTCTCGTCCTTGCCAGCACGTCAGACGGCTCCATAGCGCAACCGTTGCGGCGCACTCGGGGAAGCGCGAGGTCTCACTTTGAGCACACGACGGATACTGCCGTGCTCTTTGCTTGTTTGTCCGGAGAGAAGACAAAGGTATAGAATCGCTGGGAGCATCCGATGCCGTACGTCGGGCGATCAGCCATCGCGATGTCTGCCGAGCCACTCTCCCTGCACTCGATCTTGGCCACTTTTGCCGGTTTCGTCGGATGGGCGCCGTCCTCTTGCCTGTGTACGGCAAGTCCCGCTCCTCTGCTTGCTTGCTTGCTTGCTTGGCGTCGTGCCGAAATCCGAGACATGAAGATGTAGCTGGGCGCAGGCAGGCGGCTCAGAGCCGTGCGTCCGTGTGGTCTTCCCGCTCGCCTACGACTCAACTCCGACGGTGGATTCGACAGCAACGGCATGCTGAGCGAGGATGAGCGGCAACGCAGGCGACGACGTGCGGCGGGGACGGGACGGGTACTGTATGTATAGGCAGCGGCAGGCGCTTTGGATGGTTGGCCCAGTGGCCAGGCGTACGACAACGTGCACGGATATCGACGGCCAGCAACAATGATCGACCTTTTGCTGCTCTACTGTACATACCGTAGCAGCTGGCATCAATGCGGGAAGTGGGCGCTGCGGAAGGTGGGTGCCAGCAGGTCGCCGGTAGCGCCGTTCCCATCAACGAAAGCGAAGACGCCAGATGGAGTCAGAGCACTAAGTGTCGGGCAAGAGCAAGCAAAAGTCGAACATCGAGCTGCGTGAGGCCTAGGTGGTCGCAACAGCCAAAGGGTCCGCGGGGCCACCCGGTCACCTCGGCCAGTCCCCGTCCTCGTGGTCCCCAAGCAAGCAAGGAAGCCAGCAAGCAAGCAAAAGCAGCAAGCGGCAAGCAGCAGTTGACCGTGTCTCGGCAAGGACGACGACGTGCAGCTCCTGCCTGCGTCTCGCGAGAAGAAGCGGACAGGCCGAAACCCCGCTTGTGGGCAATCACGGACTTAAAGCGCAGCAGCAGTAGACTGAGCGCAGCGAGACCAACACCAAACCGCACCGCGCGGGGGCCAAGCTACCTAGGAAGGCCAGGTCTTCGGCTGGTGCCGATACAGCACGACCACCAGATGAGGCGCCGAAGTGCAAAGACCGGCGGTTCCGTCGGAGGCTCGACGACACCAAGACGTCCTCGCCCTCGCGTCGGCATCGGCATCGGCTTCGTACGGGTGCGCTGCCTGGACTTATGTTGAGCGAGGGAGCAAGGCCGGGCCAGGACAGCAGCTGCGCACGCGGGCGACAAGCAGGGCCACAGCGGCTCACAGGTATCCGCAAGGGTCCGATGCCGGTAGTGCATCCAGTGAGGAGGGGAGGGTGCAAAAGACGAGAGAGGGAGAGTGAGAGCCAACACCTTAGGCAACCCACGACCCTTTCGTCAGGGAGTCGCGGCCATCGCCCTCCCTTCTCCGCAAGGCAGAACGGGCGAACGAGACCTGCCTGCAAGGCAAGAGCAAGCAGGTCGACCGTCGGAACAGAGGGGCTGACCGAACTCGACCATGCCTATGTAGCCTGCATGACGAGCGAGGGCCCTTGATACTGGGCCCAGCCTCGAGGCAACGAAGTCCGACCCGTCCCACCGCATGCTTCCATTCACCGTCAGTGCCGCACGTCTCCGCTGCGGGTCCAGCTCGAGCAAGCCGCAGACGGACACCCAGCCTATCATTTCCTTCTTGCTTCTCTGCCAGCCCCTCGCCTAGCGGGAAACCTCTGCGTTGACAGAAACGCAAAGCAGCGCAAAGCGAAGCAGAGCAGACAAGCCAGCATGCCAACCGGCCACGCTGCTTGATCGCCTCTTTTCACAGCATCAGTCGGGCAGAGGTCGGGTCGTCGGGAGGAGAGAGCCGAAGATTAAGGCCAACGAACACCTAGGCCACGGCCGGCAACGAGAAGCACGCGTGCGAGCGACGGCGGCAGGGATGCCGGTGCATGGTCGCCAGGCGACAAGGACCATCGTCCACAGTCCCTTGGTGCCCGTCTGCCTGCCTGCTCAGTCCGTCCTCTGTCGGCTGCTTCGGCTGTTTCTTCTATGTTCGCTCCGACGATTCGTTCAACAAACGACGGTGGCGACGACGCCGACCGCCAGGCAGCAGCAACACACGCCCTACAGCTGTTCCAGGCAGCGCGGGGTGGGGCAGCTGTTGGCGCTCTTCTCGTTTGCCTGTCTGCCTGCCTGTAGCGTGTCTGTCCGACAGGGGCACACAAGGAGTGCCCAGTGGATCCTATACATGGTACCTACGAGGCCGCCCGTGTCCCCGATAAAGGACGGTAGTTGCGGCGTATGGAAGGCTCATCCTTTCAGCCCCCGCCGGCGTCCCGCCCGTGCATGCCGTGTACGAGCAGGCAAGGTTGCTACACGGAAGTGGAGCACAATCCTGTCGTGGGCTGTCTCGACTGGCGGTCCAGCTACAGCCGGGCGACCGCAACTGGCGCGGCCCGCTCTTGGTGACGACGACAGCATGTTGATCAAGAAAGCCGCGGGCCGGGTGCCGCAGCACTTTGACCGTCGTCGAATCTATCTCGGCCTGGGCGGGGACAGAGGTGGCGCTTGGCAATACCTCGTTTCGGCGTCTACATACGCTGGACTGTCACGACGTTTGGCACAGGTGGTGTGGGCTTCTCATTGTCGCCGGAGGTTTGTCCTTGGGTCGAGGGCGGGAAACTAGCAAGAGTGTCAGCTGCTCGACCATCTGGCCGGGAGAGAAGCCGATTTAAGAGCAGATCACGGCGGGAGGATCGATTCACTTCTCACTCACACTGCACCGCTTGACTGCCCTCGTGCTCGTCAGGAGAAAGGTCTTTCTCGGTTGGCAAGCGGGCAAACAGTTAGGCAGGGTGCACAGACATCTAGCAACATGGCAGGAAGGCGAGGCAGACGTGCAGCAACCGGACAGCGCGAGAAACGCACGTACGTACTGCCGCTCAGCCTGGGCAGGCACCGACCTGGCCATGCTAGAGCCTCTGTCTGCCCTGCCGCCTGTGGGACAGCGATTACTCTGTACCCCATGGTGTGCGCTGCCTAGGGGCGCCCACAATTGACTAGCTAGCGCTGTGGACTGTGGTCAAAGGCAGGCAAGCGAAGCAGTACCCCGAAAACCAAAGGAAGGCGAGCGTGAGGAGAAAGTCGGCCGCATAAAGTGACGGCCGTGGACCGTTGCCGTTGTTGAACTTGGCTGGCGTACGTGGGACGACGACGGCCTCGCGTGTGGCATGGCTCGATGGCCCAGCACCGGTCGTTGCGAAGCGGCCGATGGCGACGGGCGTGCTCTTGTGGACAGCGGACTGCGCGACTGCGGCGGCGGCGGCGGCGGACGCAGCAGAGTTAGGCGTGGTGGCGAGTTGCGATGCCGTCGGACATGGGTCGCAGTCGAGCTACACGTATGTACATAGACAAGCAGCACCGTCGACGAGGAACGGCAGTGAGCAATACACACGAGCCGTGATGCGCCGGGCTTCAACCCACCTGGCGCCCCGGCGTGCCACCGACGCACGCTTGCTCGCTCGCCCTGCCTGCCTGCCCTGTCCTGCCCTGCCTTGCCTGCCTGCCCACCGGGCTAAAGCAGTCGACTCATACGAATGTCTCAGCTGCAGAGGCGGTGGTGTTGCATGGTCGATCAATCCAAGCAAACCACCTCGGATTTCAGCGCCGGCCACGAGGAGGGCAGACCGGCCTGCACCTGCGCCCGTCGTCCTCCCAACGGCGACCTCGACCTCCCGCCCCTCGCCATCGCCGTCGCCGTCGCCGTCGCCGCCGCCTCTGCTGCTCTTCCCTCCCCTCCCCTTCCCTCCCCTCCTCAACCTCGTCTCTGTCTCTGTCTCTGTCTCTGCCGCGCCTCTTCCCCAGGCCACCTCTCTGGCCGTCCGAACCGACAATTGCTCGCCGGTCGCTCTCGCAACGCCTCTCTTACCTTGCATCATCACGAGGACTCTACTTTACATGACACCTGACCATAGCCCCGACCAGATTACGACTCCGACTTTGACGCCGACCTTGATCCTCTGCTCGCCCTACACCGCTGCGTCTGGCGATCGACCATAGGTGACGATACCTCGACTTGACTGCCTTCGCACAGCTAGGCGCGACTCAACGTATCCCCCCGCCCTCGACGCTATCTCAATAGCCACACCGCTGGCGACCGTCGGGCCATTCCACCAGGCTCGCGGATCCGGCCGAACTCGACCTTGACCATTGCACATTCCTTCGCCCTGGTTCCGACGATACGTTGCCACTCGACTGCCACCCTGTGCTGTATCACCGCTACGCTTGTCAGCTCGCTGCCCTGTCTCACACCCCGACCCCGCTCTATCCGGCCAAGCGCCCGTTGCTCGGGAGCTCGCCTCCGACCATCCGCTAGACGTCTTCATCTCGGCCACGCCCGCGCTTCGCCATCGTACGCTACAGTAATCGCCCTCGCTTCCGCTTGTCAAGCCGACCCAGCAAACGCTATCGGTGTGGGCCGCTCTCCGTTGTCGATATCCAGTCACGACCGACGAGGTGGTCCGATGCCAGCCACGTCTCGTGCGAGCTCGGCCGACTCTCTGGTTTCCGACGAGGTCGAGTGCTGACTTGGCACTTCCGGACAGCGCTCGCCGCAGCCCACCGACGGCCAAGCAACGATCGTACTTGCGCCCGCCGGCGCCACCCCGGGACCCTTCTGATCGCGCACCACCGGCTGCCGTTGTTGGAGCGACCGGCTTCGCCAGGTGCCCGACGCGAGGCGCTGCAGACTGCCGGGCTCAAGCGGGATGCAAAGGCAGGACGACCCTCGCCGCTCAGATCAAGCCTACGATGCGTACAGCCAACCGGTGTCGTCGAGGCATGGGGCTGCCTCGTCCTTCAGGTCGTCGCTAAGCGATGCCCTGTGCATGCCACCTCCAGGTGCAACGCCCAAAGCGACTACCAGCTCGCAGCGTACAGGGCACGGGACCGAAGCCGCCGGCTCGAGCATTGGCCAGACGGCTCAGACGCCGATCGGTCCGTCACTTCGAGCGTACCGGCACTCCCACGGCCGCGCATCTGATACAGGCCACACGGCCCGGTCAGGAGTGCGTCATGCCTCGTCGGCCGGCCTTGAGAGCATGTACAGCCTTTCGCTGGCCGGACACGAGGCGTTCGCCACATCGCCCGACCATGGCGGGCCACAGCCATGGACGCGGCAAGACCAAAACCATGCCACTGCGGGACAGTGGCTCCCGCACCCTCATCACACGACTCGAGATTCGACCATGTTGCTTCCCTTTAATATCGAGTCGGCCACGTCCCTGCTCGCCCCGCCTGCTGGAGGCGTGCCTCCAGCATCAATCAGACCTCTGGCCGACTCCGGCATGCCTGCATCATGGGCCGAGGCGAATAAAGCCACCGAAGCGGAGCTCAGCTCGTCGATCCCGAAGCAGGGCCGACATGGCCATCTCACGCCAGGCCGTCCGGAACGGCCCATCATGTTTGAGCCGGCAGCGACCCTTCGATCCCATCCCAGCTACGCAGAAGCCCAGCTGCAACAACAGCAGGCACCGCCTGGGCCCTTCGGCAGCTTCTGCCATAGCACTAATCTTCACCTCGCGGGGGCCTTTGGCGAGGACACCCCTGCTACGTCTACGAGATTCCAGCACACACCACAGCAGACCAGATCGGCCTCTCCGAGCCAGTGGTCTCCAGCCTACACGTCGCCAACCTTTTCGGCCGTCGCCACCGAGCGGGGCTCGCTCGGATCGGCCTTCGCGTACCAGACACCCAGCATGCGTGAGCAGGCGCTGCCCGCCGACAACGCTCTCGACAGCGTGGGGTCGTACCGCAGCAGCCTGCACCAAGCCTCGCCGACCTTTCATCGAAGCGCCGCCTCTGTCACCGCCCGACCGCTCGAGATCAGCCCCCGATCGGTGGTCGGCCCATCGGCTGAGGGCGGACGTGAGATTGGGATGCAAGCAGTGCCTCTGGCACCATCGTTTGGCTCCCTGGGGTCTGCTGCCATGCAATCTAGTCAACAAGAACGAGAGGGCGAGATGCGCTTCGAAGCTGTTCCCCTGATGCCTCTTCCACCGACGACACGGCGACCGGTCAGCGCGTCTTCGCTGCTCGCTGCCACGGCCAGGGTGTCGTTGCAGAGTCCACAGGTCAGCATCAGCAGCCTCGATGCTGCCAACATGGTCCCGTCCAGCGCAGGTTCCACTCGCTCCTCGTACTCTTGGCTCGGCAACCTTTCGAGTGTCGAGCTTCAGCCTACTCCTTCAGATGCCGCGGCCGTTGCCGATCCAACGACGGGCGGCGATTCCGCCTTGGCCCGAGAGCTGGGCTTGGGACTCGACCTGATGCCCGAGGAGAGGGATCATGAGATGATCGAGCACCTCGCACCGGAAGCGCCGGTACAGCCCATGGACGACGACGATGTCGCGATGCACGTCGACGAAATGGGCCGCCTCACGTTCGGGATGACCCAGCGACGAGGTTCGACGACGAGCGTCAGCACAGGCTCGCTCGGGTTCGACTCGGCGAGCAGCCGACCGCGCCACGGGCTGTGGCACCAGAGCGACGCCTCCTGGATCACCGGCGACGGCAGCTGGCTAGCCTCGACTGGGCCGTCGTCGGTGGACAACTCGTTCCAAGAAGACTCGATCGGCTCAGCCGCTGGCAAAGCCATCAGAAATCGCCTTTCCCTGCAGCAAGCACCGGTCTCGAGGTCAGCAGCGAGGCGATCCACCAGCCGCCCGACATCGTCGTCCGGCGTCACCGCTGCCGTGATGCTGTCGCGCCCGCCGTCCTCGGACGCTCGTCCGTCGGACACGGCTCAGAGGCCAACGACGGGCGACTTCAGCGAGTTTGGCCAATCCGTGCCCATCGAGTCGATGGCTGATGAAAGATGGCGGACCTGGCTGCGAGGGCGGGATGCATCCGATCGCAGTGCGAGCGGGACGGCCCAGAGCCCGCCCAATAGTGCGGCGGTTGAGCCGGCTCCGCCTTCGGCCACGCCGGGTCGGGCGAGGCTGATGGTGGAACCATACTCCAAAGCATCCTCGAGGAACGCCCGGCCCAGCAGCGCGACGAGCACGAGCAGCAGAAGCTCGACGGGAGGCATAGGCACCGTCGATCTGGCGTCAACACCGTCCTCGGCTGGCCCAACGAGGCCGAGGTCGACGCTGATGGCGACCGGCGCTTCTGTGCCGTCGCGGTCGACGTCGACCTCTCGATCGTCGTTTTCGTCGGGCGCCGATCGCGTCCAAGAGCGCAAGGCCTCGTCGGTCTCGGCGCTGCGTCGCGCTCGCGGCCTGTCGCAGAGCGGCCTGAGCAGCCTGAGCTCGAGTCGGATCATGGAGTTGAGCCGGTCTTCGGATTCTATGGAGCCGCGCAGGGCAAACATGGCTGCTATGCAGCGCGTGACGAGCCTCGACACTGGCAAGGCGGGCGCCCTCGGCACCTCGCAGCGCAACTGGAGCCGACCCATGAGCCACCTACAGACCGAAGACAGCGCCTCGGCCTCTGCTACGCCCCCCGTGGACGTGGACGAGGATCCCGCACCCGCTGCCTCGTCCACCTCGCCGCCCAAGGTAGGCTTCAACGAGGTGTCGGTTGCGCTCGACACGCTTCGAATCTTTCTGCATCAGAAGTCGGCCGTCAATCGCCCGTCTTCGCGCGAGACGAGTCAGACGAGCGACTCGACGCCCAGCGACCACAGCAGCGGTGGCACCATCGGCGTCCCGCAGCGGACTCTGCGTCGGGCAAAGGGCACACTGCCGCCTCGAGGCTCGGTCACCATCAGCGATGACGTCGAAGCATCCCTCGCCAAGCCCGGCGGTAGCGGAGTCGGCGAGAGCAAGGCCAAGGCGGCCAAGGGCGTCGGGCATGGCCGCGTTCAGAGCATGGGCGCCCTGCCCCTAGCGGGATCCAGCCGGGAACAGGACCGCCTGGCGGTCTTGCAGGACCTGTCGGAACGCATCCGCCGTCTCAAAGAAGCTAGCGAGTCGGGCCGACACCCGCCCAGCGCCCGGCCCAATGCCGTCGGCCAGAGCACGGCTCATCCGGCAGCGGCGGCGGCGTCGTCGTCGTCGTCGCCAGCTGCACATTCACCGCGTCGAGCGCAGCCCTCGCCTGCGGACCAGTCCCGACGCCAGATGCACGAGGAATTCCTCGCGGCAAGGGCGAGGCAGCGTTGAGGATGCGGCGAGGCCGAAGCAGACGGTGCCTCTCTTGTCGGCGAAATCGTCGGCCGGCAGGGGTCTTTTCCCACCAAGCGGGCTCGATGCCCGGCCGGACCAGACAGGGCGCCTCGAGATACCACAACCTTTTCGCTCCTCCCCTCAGGCGATCTCCGCGCCCCTCACACTCCTTTCTCATCGTCCAAAAGAAGACGGCCAGCGCCGGCCTTGCGCCGCCGCGGCTGCCGTCTACATGTGCCGGCTTGCCGGGCGCTTCGTGACTTCATCGTGATACCCTCCGTTCCCACTGCCATTTGCCCCATCGAAGCTGCAATCCTAGCCCGTATCGGTCTTGATGTGAGAATCTTCAACTCGTCGACTGCCGGCGATGTGACAGCGACAGCAGGTGGTGGTTAGGTGTCTGGCCAGACAGGTCGTTGCGCCAGCCGCCGAGCCGAGCCCAGATTTTCGGAATTGGCCGAGCCAGCGGCCCGAGCGTCGCTCGGCTCGACCTTGACCCTGACGCTCGGGCCATCCCCGCCTCCCTCTGGCTGTGGGGCACCAGCTGGAGCGTCACCTTATCTGACTGGAGGGCAGGCGCGGGGTGGGTTGATAGCCCCGCCATCATCCATCTCCATCGCTCATTGCTCCATCTCCCCAACAGATCAATCAGCTGCTCTCCATTTCGACATCGAAAGAACAAGAGCGCTGCGTCTACCTTACATCTTGCCCGCCTCTCGAAGCGACCATGGCGAGCAGCACCTCCCCCTCGAAGCAGGTGCCGGCGCCTGTAGCGTACCTGCGCAGCCTGCCGTCGATCCGAGAACGGTGCCGCAAGGTCTTTGAGGTGGCATCGACGTCCGACGGCCTCGAGTACCTGCGCTACGACGCGAGCCGCGAGTCGGCCGTCGTCGACTTCTGCATCTCGATCATGCAGCGCGACTTTGGCACCAACTACGCCAGCATCCCTCCGCACGGACGCTGGCGCCACTTCGACGTTGGACCCCTGCCCCGCATCACCACTCTCCTCAGTCAGTGGGCCGGCGTCGGTCCACAGGCCGCCGCCGGTACGGAGGGAGAAGGTGGTAAGAGGGTGGATGCGAAGGAGGCGGCGAGGAGGCTCGTCGACCTCTTCATCGTCAGCGTCCTCCTCGACGCCGGCGCCGGCACGAAGTGGAAGTACGAGGAGAAGAAGACGGGCTTGCAGTTTGCCAGGTCCGAGGGACTTGCCGTGGCCAGCCTCGACATGTTCCTCGAAGGTCGCTTCTGCGGCGACGAAGGAGGTGCTGCCGACCAGCAGCAGATCGGCGCCAGGCACAAGGTCGATGGTGAGTGCCAGAGCTGGTTACAGGTGCCGCCACGCTGCCTACACTAAGGTCGAGGCAGATGACTGAAAGTTGGCTTACCCTTCCCTTTCTCCGCACGCCATCTACCGCGCAGCGCGAGGCCTGCTCAACCTCTCCGCCGACACGCTGGCCATGGACATGCAGGTGCACCCCGAGTCGAACCCGATGACGGGCCTCGAGGGACGCTCGGAGCTGCTCGTGAGGCTCGGCAAGGCGATTTCGGAGGATGCCCACGGCTTCTTCTCCGGCGACGTCGCCGGCGGTGACCCGCTGTCGCGTCGACCGGGCAACCTGGTCAACTACCTCGCCGCGCACCCCACGACGCGGACCAACGCCGCGGGCAAGGTCGAGGTGAGCGTCCCGACGCTGTGGGAAGTCCTCATCTACGGCCTGGCGCCCATCTGGCCGGCGTCGCGCACCTCGCTCGAGGGTGTGGCCATGGGCGACGTGTGGCCGTGCCCGCACCCGCTGCACGCCGAGGAGGGCAGCGCGGAGGCGTTGGTGCCGTTCCACAAGCTGAGCCAGTGGATGTGCTACTCGATCATGGAGCCCATCGAGCAGACGCTCGGCTGGACCTTTATCGACGGCGACGACCAGACGGGCCTGCCCGAGTACCGCAACGGCGGGCTATTTGTCGACCTGGGCGTCTTGGTGCCCAAGGACAGCCTGCTCGCCGCCTCCCAACCCACGCCCGTCAGCCGCGACGAGTGGGAGAGCGCGACGGCGCTGCCGCGCCTCGAGCCGCAGCACCCGGCCATCGTCGAGTGGCGCGCCATGACCGTCATCCTCCTCGACCGGACCGCCGAGGGGATCCGGACCAAGCTCGGACTGTCCAAGGACCAGCTCAACCTCAAACAGGTCCTCGAGAGCGCCACCTGGAAGGGCGGTCGGGAGATTGCCAAGCACAAGCGACCCGCGTCCGGTGGCCCGCCCATTGAGATCATCTCGGACGGCACCGTCTTCTAGACCGGGCGGACGGTCGAACAGCGGTGGGCAGAGAGAAACGAGATGGGCTTGCTTGGCCCAGCCAGCTCTCTACCCCCGTCATAGCACGCTCGCGGCGTCACTGCTCTTGTTCCGAGTTTCGTGGGACACGGCTGAATTCGCAGATTGCAAAAGAAACGGACCATGACACTAACTCAGCTCATCCTCAGTGACTGGGACCGGGAGGCTGGCTCTTCTCCTTGTTCTACGCGAGCGGATCGAGATGAGGTGGAAGCATCTGAGACGGCACCCGACCGACCGACCGACCGACCGATCGATAGAGGGCCTCAGTTGGCCGAGCCGCGTCCGATGGCGCGGACCTGACCCGCCTTGACGCCCTCAATCTCGGGCAGCGGCTCACCCTTCTCCGTGGGCGGCGGAAGGAAGCCGACGGCCACCATCCAAGAGAGGTAGATGGAGACGAGCCTGCGGTCGACGCCCATGACGGTGCCCTGGCGCTGTCCCTCGCCGGCGGCGTCGAGGAGTGCCTGGGTGTGACGGTCGTCGAGCTCGGGCGACTTGGACGACGTGGGCAGGTCGTCGAGCACGTAGTGGAGCAGGGGGAAGAGGGCGTTGTCGTCGGGCGCGATGGCGCTCGAGCTGAGAACGTGCTCCTCGAGCCGACTGCGCCACTGGACGTACTCGATCTTGTCGACCTTCCAGCCGTGCGGCGCCAGCTGGCCCAGCAGGTCGTTGAACCGGATCACGGGACGTCCCGTGACGTGATACACCTTGGCGTGCGTGCCGCGCACCCGGTTGGCCTGCTCCAGGTTGCGCCCAATGTCGAGCGACGCCAGCGAGCAGATGCGCGCCACGTGCTCGACGGGCGTCATGTTGATCGTGTTGTGCATGTCGGGCATCAGGCCCAGCTGGATGCACCCCTTGACCATGCGCCACAGGAAGTCGTCGGTGTTGGACATGGCCGTCTTGGAGTCGCCCAGAACGTAGCCGGGGCGCACAATCGACGCCTTGAGGCCGCGCGAGGCGGCCAGCATGATGAGCTTCTCGGACACGAGCTTCGACTGGCCGTAGCCCGACTTGAGGCCCTTGAGGTTGGCCTCCATGTCGTCGGTCTCGGGGACGCCGAGGTAGGGCGTGCCGTCCTCGGCGACGATGGCGTCGCGCTGGTGGACGATCGAGTCCGAGAGGCGGATGTGGTACTCGGAGTCGACGGCCGCCGTCGACGAGACAAAGGTCAGCGTCTTGGCCTTCTTGCCGGCGTTGCAGAACTTGATGGCGCACACCGTCGATCCGACGTTGGCGGCCCGCAGCTTGCTGTACGGGTAGACCCAGTGGACCAGCGCTCCGTTGTGGAGCACGTCGTCGACCTCGTCGGCCAGCCTGGCGTAGACGTCTTCAGCCATGCCGAGGCGCTGCGGCGCAGCGAGGTCGCCGACGACGGCCTCGAGCCTGCCGCTCTTGACCCACTCCTCGTCCCAGATGCCGCGTCCCTCGCCTCCCTCGCGCAGGCGGTCCAGGGCGGTGGCGACGTCCTTGGCACGGACGTGGGCATAGACCTTGCCGACGCTCTCGGATCGGTTGGCGAGCAGGTCGCGCAGGATAAAGGCGCCGAGGAAGCCCGTGGCGCCAGTGAGAAGAACGGTGCGAGGACCGTCTTCGGCCCTGCGGACCTTGTCGCCCGCAAAGGTCGCGGGCAGGCCCTGCGAGAGGGTGGCCACGTCACTGCCGTAGTCGTCGTCGAGGTTGACCTCCTTGCCGGAAGCGTCGGCCTTGCCTCCAGCCGTGGCAGCTGCAGCACCGCCGACGTCGAGGTCGCCCTGCCTCAGCTTGTCCACCTCGGCCGCCAGACCGCTGACGCTGGGCGAGTCAAACACGACGCCGAGCGGCACGTTGACGACGAAGGCCTTGCGCATCTCGAAGACGAGGCGGGTGGCGAGGATCGAGTGGCCGCCAAGGTCAAAGAAGCTCTCGTCGAGAGGGATGGGCTGCGGCGCGTTCGGCAGCAGCTTCTTCCACAGCTCGACGATGACCTTTTCGGTGGGCGTGGCGTTGGCGTGGGCGGCGGCCGCAGCGGCGTTGCCTCCGTCGCCGCGGGCGGCCGATCCCGACGCGGCTGCCGAGGCGACGGCGGTGTCGGGGAAGGGGAGGGCCGGCTTGTCGATCTTGCCGTTAGGGTTCAGCGGCATCTTGCCGAGGGGAACGAAGAGTGTGGGCACCGAGTAGGCCGGCAGCTTCTTCTTGAGGTGGTCGCGGATGTCCTTGATCAGCTTGCGGTGGCGTCGCATGCCGCGCACCAGGTGGGCGTCGCGGCTGGCCTTGGCCCCGTCGGCGGCACCAGCGGCGTCTTCTCCCGCGCTGCTCCTCTCTTCGAGCTCGGCGGCTCCAGGCCCGGGGACGAAGTACGAGACGAGCACCTTTTCCTCGTCCTTGTCTCGTCGCACCAGCGTGACGTTCTCGCGGACGTGCGGGTGGCGCGACAAATGGGTGTCGATCTCGCCGAGTTCGATGCGGAAGCCGCGGATCTTGACCTGATCGTCGGCGCGGCCCGTGCACTCGACGGTGCCGTCGGGCAGGTATCGGCCGAGGTCGCCGGTGCGGTACATGCGGTCACGGATGCCCTTCCAGAACTGGCCCTCGGGCTTGTCCTTGATCGTATCGGCAAAGCTGAGGTTGGGAGCAAGGAAGTTGGGCATGAACTTCTCGGCCGTCACCTCGGGGGGTCCTAGGTATCCCTCGGCAAGGCCGCCGCTCCTGACGTAGATCTCGCCCACCTCGCCGACGGCACACGTGGCGGTGCGCTCGTTGCGGTTGACGACGAGCAGCTGGACGTTCTTCATGCCCTGGCCGGCGGGCATGATGTCCTTCTGCGTCTGCAGGAACGTCGACGAATCAGACACCGACGGGATGGCAAAGTAGCTGACGGCACGCTGCGTCTCGGTGGTGCCGTACATGTTGATGATGCAGACATTGGAGGCGAGGGCCTGAAGGCGGGTGCAGTCGCGCTTGGTCAGCACGTCGCCGACGAAGAAGGCGTTGCGGAGGCTGGGGATGGACGCCGTCGCCTGCGCGCTAAGCAGCTGACCCATGGCCGGGGTGAGGTGGGTGACGGTGGCCTTGGTGGCCGCCATCCACTCGGCCAGCCGGCCAGGAGTGCCGATGTCTTCGGACGTGGGAATGTGCAGCTCGGCACCAAAGAAGAGCGGGGTAAAGATGTCGCGCTGGATCGGGTCGTGGGCGATGCCCGAGAGCATCGTGAACCGCTCGTGGCTGCCGAGCCCGAAGCGCTCGCCCATCCAGGGGAAGAAGTGGGTCAACGAGTGGTGGCGTCCCTTGACGCCCTTGGGGATGCCGGTCGAGCCCGAGGTAAAAGAGAGCGTGCCGACGCTGTCGGGGCCGAGGACAACGTTGGTGCTCTCGCCAGCCGACGCCTGGGCCCCGTCGAGTGCATCCGGCTGGCCAGAGGCGGGCGAGCCACCGAGGACGCTGCCGTCATCGAGCAGCTCGAGGGCGGGGATCTCGATGCGGAGGTCGAGCTCGTCTTGGATGCACTTGCGGACGCTGGCATGGAGCTTGCCGGCCTTGGCCAGCACGATGAGCGCGCGGGGCTTGGCCACCTGGAGGTAGATGTTCTGTCGGGACGGCGGGTAGGCCGGGTCGATGACGCTGAACGTGGCACCGGCCTTGAGCGTTCCGAGGACGGCGACGACGAGGTCGACGCCACGGTAGGCGTACGTCGTCACGACCTCCTCGCGCTGGACGCCGGCACGCAGCAGCTGGTGGGCCACGACGTTGGAAGCGCGGTCGAGCTGGCCGTAGGTGATCTCGCGCAGCTTGCTGGCGGGCGGCGCCATCTCGGCCAGCGAGTCGGTCGATGCCGACAGTGACTCGACGATGCAACGGCGGTCCGGGTGGGACCGTGCGTTGCGCTCAAAGATCTGTGTGATGGCTCCCTTCCAGCCGCACCAGTCGAGGTCGGTGGTGGGGTCCGGGAGGAACTTGTCCTCTGTCGCCGTGCGGATGGGCATGCTCCCGACCGGTGCGGCCGGGTTGGATGCGGCGACGGTGATGAGCTGCGAGAGCTGCGCCAGGACCAGCTTCATCCTCTGCGACGAAAAGATGAGCGAGTTGTACGACAGGTGGACGGCGATGTTGGGCACGAGCGAGTCGTGGAAGGTGCTGGCCTTGACGTCGGACGAAGAGGCGGTGGGCGTGGCGGCTGCATCGTTCGCCTCTGCGCTGGCGTCGCCGGGCACCACGCCGGGCTTGGTGAGGAAGACGGTGAGGTCGGTGGTGAGCGAGGTCGACTGCATGAAGTTTCTCGACTTGCCGCCAGTCTCGTCAAAGAAGCGGACGCGGAAGATGGGCGCCGTCTGCACGCCTTCGGGCAGCGGACCCTCGCGCTCCGCCTTTTCCGCTGCGACCCGCTTGACGATGTCCTCGTAGGGGACGGCGTCGGCGGCGGCCTCGCGCTCGACCTGCTGGATGCGGCGGACAATCTGCCAGAAGGGGTCGTTGGGCTCGATGGGGATGCGGAGGATGAGCGGGTCGCCGGTATGCGGGTCCGACGAGCCGATGACGAGGTCCGTGTCGCCCGTGTATCGGTGCAGCAGGACGGCGAAGGCGGCGAGGAGCAGGTGGAAGGGCGTCGGGCTGGCTGCATCTTCCCGGTCGTCGTCGTCGTCGTCGTCGTCGCTGCTGTTGACCGTGGCGTCCGGGTCCGAAGTCGGATGCGCATCTAGCTCGTGGTGGAGTGCGAGGCGTACGAGATTCTTGCGGGCCGAGGGCGAGAGGGGCGCGGACGCGAGTGCCTGTACCAGCTGCGACGTGGCGGGTCTTGGGTAGTCTGTGGGGAGGGCGATGCTGGGCAGAGACTGAAGCCTGGCCGACCAGCGGTCGAGCCGCGCCTGAAGCTCGCCACTTTGCGTGGTCATGTTGCGCGAGCGTTGGCTGCCGTTGCCGTTGGGGTGGGCAACACGAGCAGAGCGACGATCCGAAGCTAGAAAGCAGGGAGGGGGGATGCTGGAGATGTTCTTGAGGTGCTGCGAAGCAGAGGGATTGATCCAGAAAGCTACGAGGCTGGATGAGAAGGATGAGCAGAGAAAGAAGGGGGCAAGGTGCGACGATAGGCGGGACGAGAAGGGGGAGCGGGAAGGGACGAGATGGAGATGATGTGGTCGTGGTCGAAAGTGGAAGAAGAGCCGCAACTCGACGGGTTTCCAGACGAGACGAAGGCGGCCAGGCCGACTGGGCAAAAGAGGCTCGCTCGCCCGGCCCGTCAGAGTACTGCCTGCCCGCATCCTCCGTCTCGGCATTTCGCCGAGGCCCGCCCAGCCAAAATGCTCGCTTCGAGTCACGCCCGCACAGGTCAGCCTTGGTCAGCGACGGCGCCAAGATCTTTTGTTCTTGGATCGGGATCGCAGCCCGATTGACCTGTTTTCCGATTTTCCCTCCCCCACGTCGAGGCTGGACCGGCAGGCCTGGCCATTCCTGGCAGGGTCCGAAATGACGAGGGCGTGCGTGCGGCGGGCCAGACGGGCAGCTGCCCACCTGCTACCTAGTGTAGCTGCCGGCCCCCCGCTCGTTGCTCGGGACCCCGCAGTCTCAGCTTGGGGGCTGGATTGGATGGGGGCCACGCGGGCAACCGGCACACCGGCATCGGCTGCCTCGCCTCGTCCATCTTTATTCGTTCTGGCGGGCTGCCCTCCTTTGCCGTCGCCGCTATCTAATCACTCCGCGTCCATCATCAAACGCGCCATCCTGCTGCTGTACGACCCAGCCACGACCTCACGATCCAAGACGTCCGACTGCACCACCGCCCGCCTCAAACAAAGCCAGGGCGCCGACCGCGACGACGACAACGACGACCACGACAACGACAACGACAACGACCGCCCCTCCGCTGCCAACGATGCAGGCCAACAACGACTTTGACTACATTGACCCCGCCAGCCGCATCCGCTCGGCCATCAGCACAAAACAGGTCAACGACAAGCTCGACGAACAGCGCAGCGGCACCAAAAACGACCCCGCATCGCGCTGGCACCGAGGCGGCGTGCTCGTAAGCCGCCTCGCAGAGTCCCACATCCAGCCCGCACCCGCCGTCCACTCGTCGTCGTCACCACGGCCACCGAGCTCGTCTACGACCAATGCCGAGCACGAGCACGATGCCGGCAACGACGACGACCGCGCCAGCAAGCTCGCCTCGTCCTCATTCCTGGCGTCCAAGCTGCCCTTCGGCTTCCGCTCCAAGGACGAAGAGCAAGAGTACGTCGAGGAGTCCAAGCTCATGACAAAGCGCATGGAGGATCAAAACTGGCTCGAGATGCTCGGTGAGCTGCCGAGCGGCCTCCCATAAAGTCCTCTCTGTGACGAACCACTGAAGCCCTGACCTGCCACTTTTGCACGACAACGCCGCCATCAGATCCCAAGCACCGCTACGGCAGCAACATCAAGCACTATCACCGTTTCTGGAACCTCAAGGCCGACACCGACCAGAACTTCCTCCAGTGGCTCGACGAGGGCGACGGCAAGGACCTCTCGCTCGAGGAGTGCCCGCGCTCCAAGCTCGAGGCCGAGAGGATCACCTATCTCACGCCCGACCAGCGCCGAAACTACATGACCTACATCGACACCGACCCCTGCCCGCCGCAAGAGGGGCTCGCCCACACCGGCACCGAGGGCGACCTCCGCGCCAGGCTCAACAAGCTCGGCGTGTCTTCCTCGTTTGGCAAGCCCTGGAACGCCACACAGGGAAGGGGCCGCCTGCGATGGTGCAAGACCGGCGAGCTGGTCAGCACGTCCAAGTACGACCACGGCGACCTCGGACAGGGGCGCGGCATTGCCCTTCGCGGAAGCGCAGAGTGGAAGGCCGCCGTGTTCTCTGGCGAAGCTGCAGACGTGGTGCGTTCGGACAAGATCAAGGTCCGGCGGAGGAGAGACTCGGGCTCCTCATCGGCCAGCTACACGTCGTGGAACGAGAGCGACCTCTCTTCGATCGAAGGCGCTTCTGTATCCTCACTCGCTGCAGATTCGGACGACGACGAGCGGACATCGTCATCGGCCCCGAAAGCCTCGCTCGACGAGAAACACCAGTCGAAGCGGGAAAAGTGGCTCGAGAAGGCCAACCTGGGCCCTAAGTACTGGGTCAAGCACAAGCTCGGGCTCTACGCGGCCAAGGATCGTCAGCAGCACATCGGCTGCCCAGAAAAAGCGCAGGGCCGGGGCCAGCAGCCTGCCGGCGACGTCGAAGGCCAAGACGAGGAGGACGATGACCGAGACCATCCGCCAGATGCGCTCATCCGTCGACGAAAGGCCGACACGTGGCTGTTTGTGGCCGACCTCGCCGCCAACCTCTACATCGGCATCAAGACTCGTGGGCAATTTCAGCACTCGTCGTTTCTCGGAGGCTCGATTGTCGCGGCTGCCGGCATCCTGAAGGTCAAGGACGGCATCATCACCTCGATCTACCCCTGGAGCGGCCACTATCGCAGTGGCGGCGAGCACTTCGAGGCGCTCGTCAACCGCCTCCGCCAGAGGGGTCTTGATACGAGCGGGATCAACGTGCGGAAGAGCAAGCTGCTCATCGAAGGTGTCAATCGCTATGGGCGGTACCGCAAGGCAAAGGATCGGAAGAAGCTCGAGATCAAGGAGAGGCTCAGGGAGGGGTGGCACTCGCACTTTGGCAGCGCCGAGCGGCAGCACGCGGGGGGGCAAGGTGGCGGGCCGCACGAGAAGGCACGATCGCCGAGGCCACCGGCCGACAACAGCGAGCGGACGCCAACGAAAGTCGATTCGACCTCGCCCGACGCGGAGAGAAGAAGTCAGGACGGAGGCGTCAAGGCCGAGGCCGAGGCCACGGCGACAACGACAACGACGGCATCGTCGTCACACGCGGACGATGCGTCGATACCGGATGCAGATCACCGCAAGGCAATCGACCATTGCGCAAAAGCTATGGCTTCGGGCTTGAAGTCGGACGGACAGCCAGCGCAAGACGGATAAGACGGGGGGCTGGTGGAGAAGGAGAGGAAGAGAAGGTTGGTTTTTGTGGCTCCCGACCTCTCCCCTTCTCCATCACATGCTCGCATTTGGCCTGCGGACGTCTGGCTTCAGTTGATCCACTTCGGCCGGACCGAGTCGAGTCGAGTCGAGGTGGCGCCCCCGTCGACGAGATTGCGATCGGGCCCATTTCGAGTGCAGCAATTTACCGCGGCCCCAGTTCCCTGGCCGCTCTTCGCACAATGGGAGCAAAGGCGTGGCATCGTCACGACTTGAGTCACCGGTCCTGGATCTCGGTCTGTTGACGACGATACGCTGCGTAAGTGTAAGCCTCTACGGCTTGGAAGAAAAGGCGATGAGGTCGGGCAGTGGACCCACTCGATGCCGAGGCCGCCCCGTTTCATATCGACGAGCGATTTCTGGCGACAAAGCCAAGTTAAGGTGGCTGCTGGGCTTCGCCCCGAGACGTCTGCCTGCCACGCCCGGATGATGTGGCATTGGGCGGGTCCACTTCCACCCTCTCCCTGCCTCGCACCGCTCCCGGAGGGTGTCCGCAGCCATCGCCCACATCCATACACTCGTGCACCGGGCAGACTCGGGGCGTCATCGACGATTCCTGACCCACCCTTTCCAGATGAGCGTCGCAGACTACTGTCTTGGCCAGCACACCACAGCGAACAGGCGGAGGAGGAGGAGGTGTTCGAGGGCCGAGCAAGGCATAAAAAGGGGGGGCTCGGAAGCATCCTTTGCCTCTCGAGACCCATTTCATCTCCCCCTCCCTCCCCTCCTCTTCAGCATCGTCGTCGCGAGACGTCGCAATCCCCCGCTCTCTTTCCCAGTTGAGGCCCTCAAGAGGCTCGATCGGTATCCCACACTCCTTTCTCTCACCATCACGCCCCCGCTCCTTGCACGCAATCTCCTTCCGCACCAACGTCAAGGTCAACACGCTCTCTTACCCTCGGCCCACACCCGGTCTCGAGCTGTTCAAGAGCAAGATGAGGTGGATACTGCTGCAGCTCGCCGTGTTTCTCTCGCTGGCGGCGATGGCAGCCGCCTCGCCTGCCTACGCTGAGAAGCATGGCCTCGCCCATCCCGCGGCACAGGCTCCTCGACAGAGGCACCGCAAGCAGCGCGGTCGCTCGACTCCCAAGGGTGAGTATTCAAGCGCAGCGCCTACAGACAACCTTGATCGAACACCGGCGACTGACGCGCCCGCTCTGCTTTTGCACACTCCCTGCCACGACAGGCGGCAAGCATGGCCATTCGACGCCACAGAAGCGTGCCATCGTCCCCTCTGAGCTCGGACAGCTGGGCCACCTGGCCGAAGAGATGTGGGTCAAGGTCAACCCGGGCAAGGTGGCCAACATGGCCGGCGCCGAGGTGCGCGCCGGCGAGAACCTGGCCGGCAGCACGGCGGCGCACACGGCGCAGCTCGAGCACTCGGTGGCTCAATCGACGCTGGCCTCGCAGGAACACGCGATGGCGACACAGGCCTACCTGCGCGAGCAGAGCGAGACGCTGAAACGCGTCAACCAGCAGCTGGCCCAGGTCGAGGCCAAGCTCGGACAGACCGAGGGCCACCTTGCCGCCGGTGCGCCCGGAAGGCCGCCGCTGATCAATGCCAACGACGTCGACCCGCTGCACCAGAAGAAGAAGAGCCACAAGATGCGCAACATCGCCCTGGCCAGCGGCGGTGCCGTCGCCGCTTGGTGGACGTGGAAGCACTTTTTCGACGCCAAGCCAAAGACGCTCGAGGGTCAGCAGCCCCCCTACGCCGAGGGCGGATCGCAGGACCCCTCTGTGGGCGGTGGAGCCACCCCGGATGCCGGTGCCGGTGCCGATGCCGGTGCTGGTGCTGGTGCTAGTGCTGGTGCTGATGCTGGTGCTGGTGCTGGTGCTGGTGCTGGTGCTGGTGCTGGTGCTGGTGCTGGTGCCGCAGCCGCGCAGTCGCCGCCGCAAGTCATCCCGATCGGCAGGACTAGCCCGTTCACGGGCGGCCAGGTTGGACTCATCTCGGGTACCGACCAGCTCGTCGACATGGACAACAAGTGGTGGCTCAACAGCGATGGCTGCCCTACCGGCTCAGAGGCCAGGTGCGCCCAGGCCCTCGCTCAGCACCAGGCTCAGGCCAACCCCGCCGCCAACCCTGCCACCAACTCGGCTGCGAGCCAAGCTTTCAGCCCGGCCGGTGCCGTCAGCCCCGCTCCCGACCCTGGCTACCAGTCTACGCAGGCACCGACGGATCCTAGCCTCAACGGTGGCCAAGGTGCTGGTCTCGGCGCTGGTTCCGCCGGTACCGGTGCTGTTGTCGGTGCCGCTGGCCCCGTCGCTGGCGCAGCTGTCCAGCCTGGATCTGGCTCCCAGGGCCTATCGGATGGAAGCGGCAGCGTGGGCGGCGCTGGTCTCGGCGTCAGTGCCAGCGGCTCTAACGATGCGGCTGGAGGCGGCACCACTGGCATCACTGGCGGCCAGGGTGGCACCGGTGCCGGCAGCGTCGGCAACGCCAACGCCAACGCCAACGTCAAGCGCAAGCGATCGATGCCAGTCGATCTGGGCAAGCGCGAGCCTGCCGGCCCGCCGATGGGACCAATGTTCACCGAGGCGGCTGGCAAGCTCGTCGGCGAGGTGGGCGAGAGCTCGCACGGTGTTTCGCAGCAGGCCGCCCGCTTCATGGCCAAGGACGCGACCGCTCCTCCGAGCCACGTCGGACCTTCGAACGGCATCGACCTCAACTCGAACACCTTCTCTGCCTTCCACGGCCAGGATGGTTTCAGCCCTCGCCCGCAGCAGCCCGCCGTCGCCTACCCGTACAGTGCAGAGGACCAGGCATCCCGCATCCGGATCCAGCAGACGCTCGATGCAAACACGCGCATCATGGAGCAGCACACGGCCAACGTCCGCGCCGAGACGTACAGGCTGCAGCAGCTGGGTGCTGCGTTCGACGCGCGCCGCTCGGACGTGGGCCAGCTCGAGAACAAGGTCGAAGCCATGATGCCGCAGCTGCAGGAGGCGCTCGGCAAGATCAACAAGATGAACCCGCCCAAGGGCTACCTGATCAAGACGCGCACCCAGCTCATCATGGACGGACTCGTCCTCACCTGCCTCGGCTTCTTTGCGCTCAAGAGCTTCAACAACTGGAGGCACAGCGGTACCCCTCCCCAACAGCAGCCCGCGCCCGGGGATGCCGCTGGTGGCCTCGATGGCTACGGAGCAGGTGCTGGCCTCGGCACCGGTGGCGGTGGCGGTGGAGGTCAAGACGCATACGACAAGTACGATTTCCACCTGGTCGATCGGTGCTCGACCAAGTCCGGGGCACAGCTCTTTGAGGACGGAACGGGCATGCTCTGGGACCCCGACACCGTCGCGCCCATCCCCGAGTCGCAGACCAAGAAGTGCTCCGGCGGCGAAGCCGGCGTCGGAGCTGCCTCGCTGTCCGACGACGGCCTCGAGTCTGACCCGCGGGGCGATGACGCTCTCGAAGGCGGCGATGACCTTGGCGGCGGCGCCGCCGGCGGCGCTTCCGGATCCGGCGCTGGTGTCGCCAGCGGATACGGTGGTGCTGGTGCTGGTGCTGGTGCTGGTGTCGGTGCCGGTGCCGGTGCCGGTGCCGGTGCTGGTGAGAGTGCAGCTGCTGGCGGCGCTGGACCGGCTGGTGGTGCTGCCGGACTCAAGAAGAAGCGATCGATCCACATGGCCGAGGACAAGCGCGCAGACGACATGGTGAGCTTCCTCTAGTCTGTCCTCGACCGTCGATGATTTGCCTCAATGGTGGGGATGCGGAGTCCTCATCATCTGCGGCCATATCGTGGTGTGGCTATCTGTGATCCTGGCGCGGTGAACGAGGGTACCCGGCGTGGCGCCAAGGGATGAGAGAGGGAAGAGGCAATCTGGCGGGGCCGCTGAACTGTAGCTCCATGTCTTGGACGAGTACCATCAATGTCCATTCTCTCTCGTCCCTGCTCTGCTGGCTCGTGATCTCGTGCGACTGTGGTGGGATCAAAGGAATTGGCATGCTGACGCTGACGCCCTTCTCTGGTTTTCCTCTCCTTGGCAGCCCTCATACGTCTCCAGCCTGGCACGACGAAGCACGGGCGCGTCAGCCTCGCTGCGACCGACCAAACGCCAGTGGTGGCTGATGGGCGGTCTGACGGGGGCGATGGCGGCGGACTGGGTGTTGAACAAGGCCAAGCAACGGCACCAGCAGCTGGAGAACAAGAGCAAGGAGGCGCAGCTGGCGCAGCCGGCGTCGCAGAGCGCCGCTGCTGCGCTGGCGGGCACGCAGATTGGGACGGGCGGGGTCGGGCAGGTAATGAACCCGCTCACGGGCAATGCCGTCGCCATTGATCCCACCACGGCCCAGGCCTACGATACCGTCACGGGCGAGGTTGTCGATCTCTCTGCGATTCCGGGCCTGGGGCAGGGGCAGGATCAGGACGATGATGGCGAAGGCGACGAGGAGAAGCAGGTGGGTGCCCAGCCTGGTCAGGATGGTGCGGCTTCGGTGGTTCAGGCTGCCGGAGTGGCGCCGGTCCAGCAACAGCAAGCACAGCCGATGCCGATGCCGATGCTGCAGCCGTCGCCGTCGCGATACGTGTTCACGCCTCAGGCTGTTGCTCAGTCGCAGCCAAACCCTCAGCAGCAGCAAGCCGGCGTCGTCCTCAACCAGCCCGGATTGTCAAGCCCTGCGCTAGCTCAGCCTCCAATCCCTGGATTCAACATTGCGCCGGCTACAGCGCAATTCACCTCTGGCACGCTCGCTGGGCAGGCTGGAGGAGGTGTGGGCCACCAGGCCTCGAACGTCAGCGGAGGAGCGGCAGTGGACGGTCAAGGCGCCAACGCAGTCGGAGGACGCGGAAGACGATGATGGGCGGTGCGGCCGGGGGTGGGCCCAAAGTGACGTCGACGATGGGCGTTGGAGGGAGGCGAGGGAGGTGGTGCGCGTCGAGGCGGAGTGCGCGTGATGGCTTGCGCGGGGTTGGTACATCGAGGCAGAGGAAAGAGTCAGGCGGAGAAGGAGAAGTAGCTACCGGTGGGTGGAGGGGCGCAGTGAGAGATGGGGATGGACGAGCACGCGGGGCAAGGGTTGCAATCGGACGCGGACGGGATGCTTACAGCATGAGATGGTGTGGCCCGCTTTGTTGCGTTCGGGATCGCGAGGGGCGCCAGGGCGAGACTTCAAATTTGACTCTGGCAGAGGGACAAGAGTCGGGGTCGGGATCGCCTTTTCGGGTTCGGAGCGGCAGGGGGCGATTTTTCGTCTAGAGGGCGGCGGGCGGCGGGCGGTGGACAGGCAGGCAGGCAGGCAGGCAGGCAGGCAGGTGCAGAGGATCAACACGGCAGGCTAGGGAGCTAGGGCAGGCAGCGTGCCGTGCATGCAGAATGACCGCCTGCCTGCTTGGTGGGCTCGTCTGGCTGGCCTGGTCCGGCCAATTTTGGCTTGGTTGACTCTCCGATAGGCCGCCCGCTGCGTCGCCCGTCACCACCACCACCATTCTTGATTCGCCTGTCTCTCTCGCCCTTCTCTTCTGTCTCTCTGCGGGCCATCGCATCGTGCCGCTTGGCTACCGCTCCCCCACTCTCCTTTATATCCACCATCCACCACCACCACTCCTGGCCACTCCCGCACCTTTGCACGACCGCCTCCCCTCCCTGGATGTCGCCCCGCCGGTAGTCAATCGGCACCTGCTCCTTTTCAAGAAGCCGCCGATACACAGCCAGTCGCCAGCACCGCACACGCACACACACGCACACACACGCACACACACGCACACACACGCACACACACGCACACACACGCACACACACACCCCATGCCGTCGTCCTCGCCCGATCGCGCCGCAGCGCCCATCCGCGAGTCGGCCACCGCGCGCTCATCGCTCTCCTCGCAGACCACCGAGCTCGGTCAGACACAGGCCGCCACCACCGCAACATCGTCCTCGCAGCAGTTTGCCACCACGCCGTCATCGTCCGCCGGTCTGCACAGCCGCAAGCCACAGGGCGCCAGCAAGCCTCACCCGGACCACGTCGACGTCGGCGCCGCACACCAGCACGACCCGCCTCGCCACCCTACTGACAACGATGAACACGCCAACTCGTACCCGCTCTTTGCCGGCGACAAGCCCTGGTCGCAGCGCTCCTGGGCCTACGAGCTCACGCCCTTCCGCGGCATGTGGTACGACGTCCGCCGCAGGAGCCCCTTTCTCCGCCACGACTGGACCTCGGCCTTTGAGCCCCGCAACTGGTGGACCATTGTCAACAGCGTCTTCCGCATGTACTTTATCAACCTCATGCCCGCCATCGCCTACGTCATCGACATGAACTACCGCACCAACGGCGCCTACGGCATCAACGAAGTCATCCTCGCCTCCGCCCTCGCCGCCATCGTCTTCCCCATCTTCTCGGTCCAGCCCCTCACCTTTGTCGGCGTCACCGGCCTCATCAACCTCGTCAACTACACCCAGTACAACATCTTTGTCGGCTACTACAACTTTAGCCAGATCGACTACCTCCGTATCCAGGCTTGGTCCCTCATCTGGTCCGCCGCCTTCCACTGGGTCGTGGCCGTCTTCAACGTGTGCGACTTTACCCGCTTCATCACCGACATGACCTCCGAGACCTTTGGCTTCTACGTCGGCATCGTCTACATCCAAAAGGGCATCGAGCTCCTCATCGAGGAGTTCAAGCCCGCCCCCCTCGACAACGCCACCGGCTGGTTCTCGGTGACCATCGCCATCCTCTTCACCGTCTCCGTCTACCTCGTCTCCAAGGTCGGAGCCACCTCGTACCTCCCCTTCCGCCTGCGCAACCTCGTCGGCAGCTACGCCTTCACCGCCGGCATCCTCTTCTGGACCGGCTTCAGCCACTTTCCCGACTACTCTCTGCGCCGCATCCCCATCGAGCGCCTGCCCATCACCAGGTCCTGGTTCCCCACCATGGACCGCCCGTGGTTCATCGACTTCTGGAACATCGAGCTCAAGTACGTCTTTGTCGGCGCTCCGCTCGGCTTCCTCATCATGCTCCTCTTCTACTTTGACCACAACGTCAGCAGCGTCATGGCCCAGGCGCGCCGCTTCCCCGTCCGCACCCCGGCGGGCTTCCACTGGGACTTTTTCCTGCTCGGCGTCACGACGCTCGTCGCCGGCTTCCTCGGCCTGCCCGCGCCCAATGGGCTGGTGCCGCAGGCCCCCGTCCACACCGAGACGCTGTCGGTCTTCAAGCAGGTCGACAAGCCCGACGAGGAGCAGGAGGTGGCCATGGACAAGCCGGTCCAGCGCGGCGAAAAGCGTGGCAGGGGTCGGGCGGCCGAGCTGCCCACCCGCACGGTGCGCCGGCAGCACGTCGTCAACACGCGTGTCGTCGAGCAGCGCGTCTCGCACCTCGCCGTCGGCCTGCTGACGCTGGGCACCATGACGCGGCCGCTGCTCGTGGCGCTCGGCACGATGCCCAAGGCCGTCTTCGCCGGCGTCTTTGTCCTGGTCGGCTGGGCCTCGATCGAGCGCAATAACATCACCATGCGCACCCTTGCCATCTTCCGCGACCGCCAGATGATGCCGGCCGACGAGCCTCTCGCGCCCATCCGCCGCCGCAAGATCGCCCTCTGGGTGGGCATCCAGTGGCTCTTTTTCGCCATGACGATCGCCATCAGCCAGACCATCGCCGGCATCGGCTTCCCGGTCATCATCACGCTTCTCATCCCCTTCCGCTACTTTGTCGTGCCCCGGTGGTTCTCTCCGCTCGAGCTCAAGGTGCTCGACGCGCCCACCTCGGACGCCGACGTGGTGCTCGCCTCGCTCGGCCACGAGACGGAGCGCGTGACGGGCCGCGGCGTCGAGGTGGCGCTCGACACGGGCATCGCCGGCGACCTCTACGACGGAGGCAAGAAGCGCGACGACGACAGCTATGGCGACGATGGAAACCAAGCTGCGGCTGGCGCTCTTCGAAGCCAGCACGGCGGGGCTGCGGCTAGCGAGAAGACCGTCTACGCGGACGCGGAAAAGTCGGTCGGCGGCGTCGGTGGACACCGGCCGATGCATGCCCAGGATGAGGGGACGAGGGCGACTGGCCCGGCGGCCATGAGCAGCGGCATCGCCGCTGGTACCGCCGGGCTCGCAGCCGACGAGGCCAAGGAGGAGAGCAAAGGCGGCGGCGCTGCATCCACGCACAGCGGTCAGGATCACGTCCTCGCCTCGCAGCCTGCAGGGCAGCAGAGCGATCAAGTCGACGCGGCTATCCTCGTGCAGCAGCAGCAGCAGCAGCAGCAGAAGGACGAAGCCAAGAGGGCCAAGGAGGCAGAGGTCGTAGCCGCGCAGCAAAGGAAGGCCGAGGAAAAGCGGGCCAAAGAGGAGAAGAAGGCAGGGGAGAAGCGCGTCAAGGACGAGAAGAAGAGGGCAAAGGACGAGGAAAAGCAGCGCAAGAAGGCGGCCAAGGACGAGGAAAAGAGGCGCAAGGAAGACGCCAAGCGCGAGGCCGCCGAGGCCGAGAGGGAGAAGAAGGCACAGAAGGACAGGGATGCCGCCCTCGCCGCCGGCGTTGCGGGTGCTGCAACCGCCGCGGCCACTGCTGCCGGAGGCGATGCGGCCAAGGAGGAGGGAGAGGACAAGTCACCCGACGCAAAGTACGAGCAGGTCGAAACGGCTGAGCCGGACCCTCTGTCGAGCACGGCACCCCAGATCTCGGCCGACGTCCTTCCCGTTCCGGGAGCCTCTTCGTCACTGACGCCGGCGAGTGCAGGCGGGGACCGACCGCCGCGTCTGTCGACGTCGAGCAGCATCAAGCGCAAAGCCGTGCCGCGCCTCTCGATGACCGACGAGGAGCCGCAGGCCGCCGCGATAGCAGAGGCACCTGCTGCCTCGATCGCCGCGAGCAATGATGCAGCCGCGACGTCGTGGAGCAACCCCACTGGCGTCGACTCGATCCCAACCTCTCCTGCGACGACGGCGGCGGCGGGCAAGAGGGGAAAGCGGCACATTGTGGCCATCGAGAACCCGGTACGAGGGGCCGGCTCGCCGCCTCCTCCCGTCCAGTGGCGCAACGACGGCGAGAGCGATGCCTGATCCGCCGTAACCTCCCGCCGCCCCCAAAAGCACGTCCTTGCTACCCGCTCACGCTCATAGAAGAGCACCCACCCATCTGATACCCCGTCACCCGCCTCCTTATTCCAACATGATTCCGCCCTGCTTGCGTTGCTACATCTTTGCTCTGCTCCTGTGCCTTCCTTGCTTGATCCTGCTCCGCCTCCGTGAATGTATGGATGGACAGCATTGCCCGTGCGCAGGCAGGTGGGCAGGACGGTGCGTGTTGAATACCGGTGTGATGCGTCGAAGGTGGTGGGCCCGAGGAAATCGCCGGGTCTGTGTCCGGTTGCCGGGTCGCGTCCACGTGGCGCCGCGAGGGCGGGGCGGGGCCAAAGTCAAACCGGCCAACCGTCTTCCGAAGCCGCGGCCGCCGCCGGTCGGGGGGCCATACTCGCCGCCCGTCTCCTGCGCTGTTGCCTTCACAAACCTCCTCCCGACCACGACCGCCGTCACCATCACCACCTTCAGCAGCCTCAGCGCACCTCGCAGCAAGGCATGACGATCGATCCGGCCGCACCCGCTTCCGCCTCGGCCTCGGCGCTCCACATCGAGACGCCGCTGGTGCACTCTTCGATCCTCTCCAAGCGGACGGGGCACAATGTCTACCTGAAGCTCGACAGCGCCCAGCCGTCCGGGTCGTTCAAGATCCGGGGGATCGGGCGCATCTCGGCCCTCTCGCTCTCGCGGTACGGGCGCGAGGGAATGCACCTCGTCTGTTCGTCTGGTGGCAATGCCGGGCTGGCCACGGCGCACGCGGCGCGCACGCTCGGCGTACCGTGCACCATTTTCGTGCCCACCTCTACCGAGGGCGCCATCGTCGACACGCTGCGGCGCCAATACGGTGCCGAGGTCGTGGTGGAAGGTGCCGTATGGAACGATGCGGATACCGAGGCTAGACGGTTTGTCGAGGCGCAAGAGGGGAGGGTGTATATCCATCCGTTTGACGGCGCGGAACTGGTGCGCGGTCATGCCACCCTCGTGCGGGAGGTGTACGACCAGATGCCGCGCGGCGAGGACGTCGATGCCATCATCTGCGCAGTGGGCGGCGGCGGCCTAGTCGGAGGCATCCTCCACGCCCTCTCCTCCTCCTCCTCCTCCCCCTCCTCCTCTGCCGCCAAGACGAGGGTGATAACGACGCAATGCTTCGAGACGGACTCGTTTACCCGCTCCCTCCTCTCTCGACCGGCACAACACGTCACCCTCGACGAGATCAGGAGCAAGGCCACGTCAATGGGCACACGCACGTGCTCCGCGTCGCACCTCGATGCCGCGAGGCGGTACGGACACGTCACGCCGGTGCGCGTCGACGACGACCTGGCCGCCTCGGCCGTCTGGCAGTTTTACCGCGACCACGGCGTCCTCGTCGAGCTCAGCTGCGGCGCCGCCCTCGCGCCCGTCTACTTTCCGCAGCGCATCCTCAGCACCGCCCTCGCCTACGGCGAGCAAGACGAGGTGGTGGTGCGAGGAGCGCCGCCACCGCGTCCCGCCCGCAAGAATGTCGTCGTCGTCGTGTGCGGTGGGTCGAAGATTGATGCGGAGATGGTCAAGAGGTACGAGGAGCAGACGGGCGACATGGACGGACGCGGGAGGGCCGATGTCGATGGCGTGCCAGTCTAGGGACAATCGGAGGTAGAGCATGCACTTCGTACATTTATTGCCACTTCAGCGGCACCGTCCCTGTCGCCAGTCCACCCGCCTGCGCGCCAGCCAGACTGGGCCTCACCGTCCCAGCTCCTCGAGGATCTCGGCCTGCCTCGCCTTGGAAACCTTCATGAACCCGCTGAGCTGCATGTCAAAGCTGCCGCTCCCGCCCGTCAGGGCGCGCAGCCGGCTGCTGTACCGCACCAGGCGCGCCAGCGGCACGCTGGCGTGCACCACCGTCTGCTGGCCCTTTCCTCCCGCACCGCCCCCGCTCGAGGAGGCGAGGTCGTTGAGGGATCCAACCTCGAGCGACTCCGAGGGGATATAGACCCCCTCGTCGCCGCCCGGTGTGCCTGCAGAGCCAGAGGCCGACGCATCGTCGGTCGAGTGCTCGACGTCGAGCACCGTCCCGTCCTGCTCGTTTGTCAGGTCCGAAACGACCTTGCCTAGATCCTGCGCCGAAATCGACAGGCGGACCAGCATCACTGGCTCCATCAGCGTCGTCAATGCCGCATTACCGCTGCCGCTGCCGCCGCCGCCCGGACCCCTCGCACCCGCAGCGGCACCGCCGCCGCCTCCCTCTGCCGCCGTCACGCTGGGCGAGGGCGGAAGCGGGTGCAGGACGCGACGGAGCAACGTTGTGACCAGCAACGAGATTGACGAGGGCGTCGATAGCTCCGGACCGTAGAGTTGCGGGTGCGAGATCGTCAGGTGCAGGTTGGTGAGCGGGTTCGACGTCAGCGGCCCGCGAGACAGGGCGGCCATGGCACCCGAGCGGAAAGAGTTGAGCAGCGAGGTCAGGTCCATCCCCGCCAGGCCCGTCGAGGCGTCGTCCGCGCTCCTCTCGGCCGTCGCGGTGTTTGTCCTGGCGTTGGCGTTGGCGCTGCCGCCGCGAGCACGCCGGCGCTCCTCGGCCTCCTCGGAGACGTACTGCTCGATGTCCCGTTCGTCCTCGGCGCCAGGCGCGGCCTTCTTCCGGGCTGCGTCCTTGGCAGCTGCGACCGCGGCATCGTCGCCGCTGCCGCCCTGGTCCAGCCTCACCTCGATCCGGTTGCCGCCCAGTGCCGGATCGCCCTCCTCGTCGTCGCGCAGCGCCCGGACGTGCAGCCGGCAGCCGACCTTGACCTTTTTGCCGCCCATTTCGCGGTCCAGCACGTCCTCGATGGTGAGGCCGCGCTCGTCGACGCTGTCCGCCAGCGTCTCGCGGAAGCTGACGCGCACCCCGCCCATGCTCGCCCGCACGTTGAACTCATTCTCCAGCCGGTCCTTTGCGATCTCGAGGTGCAGCTCGCCCATGCCGCTCAGCACCGTCTGTCCTGTGCCCGTACCCGCCGAGGCGGCAGCGGCGCCGGCGCTCGTCCCGGACGAGGCGCTGTCGTCGAGGCGCAGCGAGGGGTCGGTACGCACCAGCATCGCCAGTGCCTCGAGCACCGCCGGCTCGTCCGACTTGGAGCGCGGCTCGATGCTCATGCTGAACACGGGTGGCGGCACGTGGACCCGCTTGAGGCGGAGCGACTTGACGTCGGTCGCTGTCGAGGCATCGCCGTGACGCCCCCCTCCGTGACCGTGACCGGCATCTGCGGCCGCCTTGGAGTCGACGAGGGTATCGCCGGTCCGCGTGTCCTTGAGACCGAGCAGCACGCCGATCTGGCCCGCGCGCAGCGTGTTGGTCTCGATGTACTGGTCGGCAAACGGCAGGAGCAGGCGCGATAGCCGCTCGCGCGACTGCGTCGTGGTGTTGAAGAGCGAGGTGCTGCGCTGCAGCGTGCCCGAGTAGACGCGGACAAACGTCGTCGGCCCGCGCCGCTTGTCGTGGACCACCTTGAAGGCAAGCAGCGTGGTGCGCTTGTCGTCGATCGGGATCGTCACCTCGTCAGTCTTCGTCGAGGCATCGGCAGCCTGGCCATCGGGCTGCGCAGCTGCCTTGGCTGCACCGGCATTGGCAGCGCCCTTGCCGTGCCGGGAGCGGCCCTGCTGAGCTGCGACGGTGCCAACAACGGCTGGCTTATCGTTGGGACTTGGCAGGAACTCGGCCACGGCATCGAGTAGCGGCTGCACGCCGATGTTCTTGGCCGCCGAGCCGCACAGCACGGGCAGCACACTGCCGCGCAACGTCTGCCTCCGGATGGCCGCCTTGATGGACTGCTCCGAGATCGAGGCGTGCGGCTCCTCGTTGGAACTAGAGGGTTGCGAAAAGAGCTCCTCGAGCAGCTCGTCGTCATGCGATGCGAGCGTCTCGACGAGAGCGTGGCGTGCCTTGACGGCCTCGTCCCACAGCGCCGCCTCACTCTCCTTCTGGCCCTTGACGAATGCTGTCCGCGTCACAATCTCGCCGGCCTTGCCGGAGAAGGTGAGCTTCTGCATACTGAGCAGGTCAAGAACACCGCCGATCCCCGCCTCATCGCCGTTGGCGTTGGCGGGCGGTAGCGGGAGCTGGAGGACGATGGGCTGGGCGTGCAGTCCGCTGGCGAGGATGCTGCGAACGGAGCGTGAGAGGGATGCGCCGGTGCGGTCGAGCTTGTTGACGAAGAGCAATAGACTCTTGACGTCGTAGCGCGCCGCCTGCTTCCAGACCATTTCAGTCTGTGCCTCGACTCCCTCGACGCCGTCGAGCACCACGACGGCGCCGTCGACGACGCGGAGGGCGCGCTCCACCTCGATGCCAAAGTCGATGTGACCGGGCGTGTCGACGAGGGTGATGCCGACCTGGTCGCTCGTCTTGGGCTTGGTCACGGTCGAGGGTGACCACCATACGGGACCCACGGCGGCCGACTGGATCGTGATACCACGCTGTCGCTCCTGCTCGAGAAAGTCGGTGACGGTGCTGCCGCTGTCGACATCGCCGGGCGTCCCGCTGATGCTCGATTTTGTCGATCCAGGCACCGGAGGCGATAGTGCATTGGTGAGGTGGAGCAGCCGCTCTGTCAGGGTCGTTTTGCCGGCGTCGATGTGAGCAATGATCGAGATGTTGCGCAGCTGCGTGGTGGGCACCTTTTCCGGGTCCGGTGGTGGTGGTGGTGCGGCGGAGGCCGCGGAGAGGGCGGCAGTGCAGTGCAGGCTGCGGACTCGTGGTCCAGATGCTGCGTTGAGGTCGAAGCCACGCTGCCTCCGGCTGGACATGCGGCCGCCGTAGATGGTGGACAGAGGCGGAGAAGATGTCGAAGCTAGTGAAGAGGGCGGCCTGGAGCTGAGAGTCAGGACGCGGTTGCTACTGGTGCCGACGCCCCTCGTCGCCGCAGCCCTGCTCGCCGCAGCAAGCGTGCGAGTTGGGAGCATGTTTGTCCTCGTTCTATGACTGATATGGCTGGGCGCACGTCGAGCTATCGCTGGTGGTGGTGGTGGTGGTGGTGAAAGAAAGGTCATCGAGGTGGGCTGACCTGACCTGGCAATTCTTCGCGCCTTTGAATGGCTGCTGCTCGGTCTCCGTCTCCCGAGCCTTTTTCTCTCGCGGGTGCCGCCTCCACACGCCAAGCCGGCTTCATCCGTGCTGCCTCGATGGCGACGCCGCGGCCACGGCGCCATGATGCGACTCACACCTTGACCCATCAACGCCCGAGAAAGCAGGTGCGATCGAGCATGTCGATCGCTGCCGGTGCAGCAGAGAAAGAGAAGCAGTGATTGAGTAGTGTTACACGCAGGGGAATCCTGCCGAGGTTGGAGCAAGCGCCTGCCGCTCGCTACCGCTTGCCCTTTGTTGGTCGCCGCGCCATCCCCATTCCCAGCCGCCGCTTGCCATTTCCCAGACCTGCGCTGATGCCGTTGGCGGTGCTCGTACCGCCATTGGTGGTCGCGCTGCTGCTGCTGCTGCTGCCGCCGCCGCTTCCCTGCGCGAAATTGTCGGCCATCGTCGCTGCCTCGTCGGCCGAGGCGGGGAGGAGATCGAGGAGGCTCGACATGCTGCTGCTGTGCGCCTGCTGGAAGCTTTCCAGGTCTGCCCGTCGTCGCGGCGCCATGCCATCGGTGCGCCCCGACGCCGCCTCAATCGCATCCTCTGGCCGCGCCTTGAGCCGCACCTCGTCAGTGAACCGAGGCGGCGGTGGGGGCTGCACCCTCTCCCGCTCCGCCTTCTGCCGTGCCTGCATGCTCGGCGGCATCAGCGGCCGCTTCATCAGTCCGCCTCCCAGTGTCGAGCCCGAGCCAGACCGTCCCATGCCTCCGCCCACTTGCAAGCCCGAGTAGGTCGCATAGGTGCTGCCGCCACCGCCAGTCGTGGGTTTGATGTTTGCACCGACCTCATCGTCGTCGTCGTAGTCGTCCAGCACCGTCGAAAAGGAGCCAATCGTAGGCCGAGAGAAGCCCAGGTTTTGCCTCATGGCTGCATTGCCTGCCCCGGAGCTGCCGTTGGACCACGACGACGACGAGGCAGAGTAGGGCCCCGAGCTTCCCAAGTTACCGTTGCTGAACTTGCCAAGGCTTGATGACGGCGCAAACGAGCCGCCTCCGCTGAACCTACCTAGAGAGCCTCCGCCGCCGCTGACAAAGCCGCCAGAGGACGATCGTCCGCCGGAGCCGTAGCCGCCGTAACCGCCGCTTCCGACGCCGCCAGACCTCTCGAGCTCCTCGGCACGATCGACGCGCGTAAGCTCTTGAGCCAGCTTGGTCCTCTCGAACTGCCGGATCGAGTCGTTGCAAGCCGACGGCTCCGGCTTCGGTCGGCCCGTGACCTTGACAATCGCATCGACGGCTGCAGAGTCGAGCTCGGGCCTCGCCGTGCAGAAAGGGACAGCCTTTGCGTCGGTCGCCGAGCCACCAGCCTCGCGCTTGGCAATCGACGAGATAAAGTGGCTGAGCACCTTGTCCCTCGTCTCGCCACCCGCCATTCGCAGCGAGCAGTAAGACAGATAGAGCATCGCCTCGGCGCGCGTCATGGCGACGTAGAGCAGGCGGCACTCCTCGTCGACCTCGTGGGGCTGCTCGCACCGGAAGGATGGGTAGGTACCCTCTTCCACTGCGGGGACAAACACGACAGGCCCTGCATCGACGAGAATGTCGAGAAGCACAGCAGTCGAGTGACAGTATGGTCAGTCGGTGGCCGCATCATTCCGTCGGCTCGCCTCGGCGGTCACTCACATTCGAGCCCCTTTGCCGCGTGGCAGGTCGAGATCGTCACCTTGGGCTTGGCCTTGCCGTCGTCGTCCTCGGCCTCGGTCGTATCGGTGGCGAGGATGCTCGCTTCGAGAAAGACTCGAAGCGGTGTCTTGTCCTCTTCGTCCTCGTCGTCGTCGTCGTCGTCTTCGACGTCGATATCCACCGCAAAGGCCGAACCATCACCGCCGTCGGCCGGGTCCGGTTCCTCCTCCTTCTTGGTCGCCTTGGCCGGGGAGCCGCTTGAACGGTCGAGCATGGCCTCGCCAAACGTCTTCCTCGCCTTCTTTGCCCGCTTTTTGTCCGGCTGTCGGGGCGAGGTGCGCTTGCCCTTGTCTTCCTCGTCGCTGCTGATGAGGTCGATCACCTCACTCTCTGGCTCCCTCTTGAGGGCTCGCTTCTCGGGCTGCGACGGCTGCGAGGGCGCCTTGGTCGAGGGCGTCGCCGTCATCAGGCTCTCGGTGTCGTAGTGGTCTGGATCGACGAAGTCGCCGTCGTCCCGGTGGTACGCCTCCTCGTCCTCGGTCTCGTCCTCGCCGTCCTCGTAGCGGCGCAGCATGGCGGCCGCCGTCTTCTCGTTGCTCTGTTCGAGCATCGTTGCGAAGCTGATCAGCTCTTTGACGTTCTCCCAGCGCGAGTCGAAGTCGGGCTCGCGTCGGAGGTAGGTCTCGTAGTCGATCCTTTTGAGCAGCGCCTCGATCAGCTGCGAGACGGGTTTCCTCTGCTTGGCCATCTCGCGAAGCTCGACGACGGCCGCCACCAACTCGCCCAGGCCCTTTTTGACCACGGGCCCGATGCCGGCCACCTTGAGCCTGCCGCTCACCAGCCGCTCGGCCACCTCCATCGGCTTGAGGTTGAGGCGATGCGCCTGGGCGCGCAAGTCGCCGATCTTGTTCTCGCCGATGCCACGCTTGGGCACGTTGACGACGCGGACGAATGCAGGGGTGAAGCCCGGATTGTCGGCGAGCGAGAGGTAGCCCAGGATATCCTTGATCTCCATTCGGTCAAAGAACTTGTGGCCGCCCACCATCCGGCTCATGATGCCCTGCGTCTGGAACTCGGCCTCGATGGCTCGGCTGAGCGCGTTGAAGCGCAGGAGCACGGCAAAGTCGTTGTAGTTGAGCAGACCTCCGGAGTGGGCGACGATACGCTTGATCTCGGACGCGATGAACCAAGCCTCCTTGGGCGCGTTGCTGTTGAACCGCAGCGTCACCGGCGGCCCTCGCGGGTGGGAAGTGTGCAGTCCCTTTTCGACCCTCGCACGATCTGCAAGGCCGCGCGGCGGTCAAGACGAGGAAGCACGGGGAAAGCGGGGCCAGGTGAGGCACGGTCAGCACGCGATGGCGACGCAGAGCCTCGGTCGGGCCCGGGCTCGGTCGTGGTCGTGCCGACACTCACCCTGCTGCACCACCTTGAGCGAGGCCTCGAGGATGGCGCCGGTGCTGCGGTAGTTTTCCTCGAGCCGGACTTGCTCGGTGCCCTTGAACTCGAGGCACATCTTCTTGAGGTTGCCCACCTCTGCGCTGCGCCAGCCGTAGATGCTCTGGTCCGGGTCGCCGACGACGCTGATCGACTGGCAGTGGGCGGCCATGAGGCTCATGAGCATGTACTGCGCCGTGTTGGTGTCTTGGAACTCGTCGACGAGGACATGCTCGATCCTTCGGGCAATCTGCGGGTTTTGGCGGAAGAGGCGGACGCCGTAGACGAGCAGGTCGTCAAAGTCGAGGGCGTTGGCCTCGCGCAGCTGCTCCTGGTAGCGGAGGTAGATGTCGGCCATGATGCGCTTGAAGTCGGAGCTGAAGCGGGTGCGGAAGTTCTGGCCGGGCGCCTGCTTCTGCTGCTGCGACGACGAGGCCGACGACTTGAGCGCCTCCTCGCGGTACCTCTGCGGGTCGATGTCCTTGGCCTTGGCCTTGGAGACCTCGGACATTGCGTCTTCGGGCTTGAAGAAGATGCCCTGCTCCTTGAGGTCCTTTTCCATGGGCTTGATGATGAGCTTGAAGAGCTTCTTGCTCTCGTCGGCGTCGACGATGGTGAAGTTGTTGGAGAGCTCGATGAGCTGGCCGTACTTGCGGAGGTACTTTGCGCAGGTGGCGTGAAAGGTGCCGATGACGAGGTTGGCGGTGCGCGCGGGTCCGATGAGGGCGGTGAGGCGCGACTTCATCTCGTTTGCGGCCTTGTTGGTAAAGGTGACGACGACGATGTTCTCGGGGTTGATGTTGTTGCCGGGGTCGAGGATGAGCCAGGCCACCCTCGAGGTGAGGACGCGCGTCTTGCCCGATCCGGGGCCGGCGAGGATCTGGAGCGAATGCAGCGGAGGGTGGGTGGCGGCCTTGAGCTGAGAGGGCGAGAGCGAGGCGAGGTAGGTGTTTCGCTGCGGCCGCTTGTTGAAGGGGACAGCGGACGAGGTGTCGGCGCCGGCCGCTGCGGCTGCGGCTGCGTCTGCGGCTGCGCCTTCGCCGTGGTCGGTGGATCCCGCCGCTGCTGCCGGAGCAGCCGAAGCGACAGCGGCAGCGCCGTTACCCTGCTCCATTTTGGGGGCCTGAGCCGCGGGCACTGCACTGGTGCTGGTGTCGGCGTCGGCGCCGTCGGCTGCTCCCGGATCCGGCTTCAGCATCGTGTCGTCGAAGATGCCCAGAGCAATCGATGCCAGTGTGCAGGCGATGCAGCGAAGGGCAGGAAGAGGCGATGCAGGCCTTTTGTTGGCGACCCGCCGCTCTGCTCGGTTCTGCGACAGTCGACCTTGCTAGAATGGCATGCCTGTCGCTGTCAAGACGGCCCTGCTGAGGCCCTCCGGATATGTGCAGTCCAAGGTAGGGCCAGCAGCCACGAGAGAAGGGACACCTGGACGACAATCTCAGGATGACACCCCTGTCTGGGCCGGTGCAGCGGTGACGAATGGCGAGAGGCTGCCTCGAGAGTCGGGTGGTGGGTATCCTTGGAGGGATGGAAGGAGACGAGAGGTGTGGGGCCAGCGTGGGTAATGGCGGGAAGAAGCCGGTGGGAGGCAAGCAAGCAGGACCCCCCCAACACACCTTTCTTCCCTTGCAGCCCCACCAGCACTCCAAGCAACGTGCAGCTGGCAGGCCAGCAGCAGGCGCGTGCCGTCCACTGCCCAACCTCCACCTGCCTACCTCTTTACGCCTGGCTGGCTGGCCGTCGCTGGCCGCTTGCCCTCTGAGCCCCGCGTCCAAAAGTTGGCTGGCCAGCGCGTTTGGAAAAGGCCACGAAAATCCAAAATCCAAAATCCAAAATCGAGGCCCAGCCAGGCCAGCCGACGTCAGCGCTTTCCTCTCGACCACCACCAACCCTCTTTGCTCGTCCTCGCACGCCTCCCATCGAATCCATCGACCAGAGAGGGCAGCGAGCAGGGCTCTGATCGTCTCGCCGGAAGTATTCAGACACCATGCCACACCTTTCATCTCATGGATACGTGCCTCGACCCTGGCTCTCTGCTGCCCAGTAGCACCTGGTGAATAGACGAAAGTCACCCTTCAAAGCCGATTGGCAAACGACGGCAGTCCTCGCGTCACGGCGGGCACCGCGATGGCTCGCCGACGGGGTTGCGGCAGCTCGGGGCGATCGTAACCTTTCGCGGCCACTGCTCCGCCGGCAAGAGCTGCCTGCATGTCAAGTCAGTTGAACCTCTGGCAGATTTGTCGAGGTCCTCCTGGGCGTCCACCGTGCCCGGCTGGGCCGTAAGGTGGCATGTCGCTTTCCAGCCAGGCCGTCGGTGCCGCTGCTACTCGAGCACGCTCGATTGCCTAGTCTGCCGTCTCGTGCCCCTGTTCCCTTGAAAATCGACGACGCTGCTGGTGCCAACACGCGCCCCGGCGGCGACCTGGGCCGCACAGCTAATCTCCGCCGGTGTCGTAAACGAAGCCGAGGCTGTGCTTCTCGGTCCTCAAAACGCGTCAACGTCCCCGCCACACGTAACACCCCCATCTAGACGCGGGCCGGCGAAAGGACGCCGGTGCAGCTTTAGACAGGTCAGAGGAAGAGTCCAACAGCTCGGGCCACGTCGACATGGCGCCCAAGTCGCCTGCCTGCAGCTTGATGCCATGCAACCACGTACGGAACCTCTTCCCCGCTTCCTGATTGGCCTGGACTAGGCTAGACTGGCCTGCTTGATGCCCCTGCGCGATAGTCTTGGACCGCCTCTGTGGTGAAAGCCCCAGGCCGGGCCGGAACGGGGACCGCAGGCGCCGCTCCTCGTCCACCGTAACGACGAGTGGCGACAACAATGGCGAAGCGAGGCCGCGTTGAACCCCCTTCCCCCGCGCCTTAGACGCGGGCCGGCGCGCTAGTGCATCCAACTCCGGACGCCAAACGACAAATTGGTTCCACATCCGCATACGCCGCCGCCACCTGACGTATGCATCCCCCCGCCCGGTCCCGCTCTGCTCGAGCCTCGCAATCCCCAACCCCTGCGTACGACGGCATTTACGCGAGCGAGCTAAGCGCCTCGACTGCGCTACGGCACGATTCCGCGTGCCGGGCGCTCAGGGCATCGTTGCTCGACAGTGGCCGGACAATCGCGTCACAGCCGTCTATCGACCACCAACCCCTTTCACGGCGACCTAGAGTGGCTCGGCGATTCTTCCCGCTCCCCCCTCTGCACCTTGCCAGAAATACCCATGGCGCGTCCGTCACGGACCGGCCCGTTGCGCCATGGAGCTCGACGACAACCCAAGCTGCGGTGTCCCGCCGTCGGACGTCCGGGTGCGGCAAGGTCCCCATGATCAAGTTGCGCCTAGCCGCTTGTCGGTGTTCGACGTGGAAAGCCTGAGGGCAGCCGAGTCCTGACGGACTACAGTAGAGGCGTCGCAGACTCCTGTCCCTTCTGCCGGGCTCGACAGCAACGCTTCGTGTCTTTCGAGCCAGCATCGTCCGTAGCGAGTGCCGCTTGCATCCATCGAAGAGGGCAAGACGAAGCTGGAGAGCGTGCAGGGTATAAAAGGATACCTCTCCGTGAGCGAAAGGAAAGATCGAACCATCCTCTCACGATTCGCCACAAACACAACACAGAGCCCTCCTCCAGCCTTCTCACTTTGCCCTCGTCCAGTCCTACACCCCCCTAATCACGTCCCCTCTACCTTCAAGTACCGCTCGACACGATGCGTTTCAGCGCCATCCTCCTCGCCTTTACCCTGGCCGCGCTCGTCGGTGCCGCGCCCGTTCCCATCCTCGATGCGCGACAGCTCGAGGGGGTGCAGGCCAGCGACCTCAGTGCCATGACCGGTCAAGCCGCCAACGTTGGCGATCTGGTTGCTCGGGCCGAGAGCAAGGACGAGGAGCCTCGCAAGCCTCACAGTCGCCCGCCGCAGAATGAGCAGGAGTGGGACCAGGATGGCAAGCCCACCTACCCTCGCAAGCCTCACAGCCGTCCGCCGCAGAACCAGCAGGAGTGGGACCAGGACGGCAAGCCTACCTACCCTCGCAAGCCTCACAGCCGTTCGCCGCAGAATGAGCAGGAGTGGGACCAGGACGGCAAGCCTACCTACCCTCGCAAGCCTCACAGCCGTCCGCCTCAGAATGCTGCAGAGTGGGAACAGGACGGCAAGCCCAAGAACCACGCTTAGGCTCAGGATTAGCGCGCCATCGAGCCCAGAGTGGCGAAGCCAGCGCGACGCGGCTCCTTCTTCAGACATTTTCCTCGCATCTCGTCTCCCTCCCCATCATCTCTCATCGGCGGAACATCTCCCAGCGCATCTCCAAAGGCCCACTCTCCATCCCATCCATCCCTTGATCCGAAGGCGTCGTCGCGGCGAGCTCGCTGCCAGCACCGATCCTTCGTTTGAACAATTCCTTTCCCTACCCTACTGTGCCCAGCGAGTGATGTCTGAGCTGCGTGTCTATGCGGAGATGACCCCGGACTAGGAAGAAGACACCCGTGACCGTGGCGCGGCTTCCCTTGCGCCTCGCTCGCCGCCCGTCAGGGACTGGGCGCACCAACCCCTTTGTCGACTCGGCGTCGGTGCAAGATCGCCACGACGTCAACCCCCACGGTTCTTGCCACGACCGCGAGCTCCGTCTTTTCCGCAGCAGGTCTTACCCCCTGATACCCCTTCCGACATTCTGTTCCGAGCAAGTGCACGCCATGCCCCCCGATTTGGATGAAGTAGGTCGTGGAAACGAGAAACCGGCCTGCAAGCCTGTTTGATCATCCAAGGAACTCAGTGCCGAAGCGGTGGGCGTCCTTGGATCCCCAAAGTCACCCTCGTGCATGCGCCTGGTGCCCAGGGTGATCAGACAGGCAACGTCTGGATCGCAAAGGTATAAAGCCTGACGTCTCGAGCCCCTCTCTCGACTGCTGCCACACATCCTCTCGAGCCCTCATTCTCGTCCAGACGTCCGCAACCTATCTGGTGAGCGCCGACCTACGCCGTCTCACGACCACACCCGCACCTGGCAGGCGAACATAGTCTTGCTGATGCCCCTTGCCCCTGCCCTCTCGCGCCCCGTCATGATCAGCGAGAATGAAGCTCTCCATCCAGACCACGCCCATCGCCTTTGCTGCGCTCATCGCCGCGATGACGCTGCTGCCGCCCACCAGCGCCGTTCAAGTGCAATACGTCAGCCCCAACGGGGACTATGCGTGCTTTCTCGAAAACCACGCCAACGGAGGACCCACGCCGCCACCGGGTTGTGCTCTGCCGGGCCCTGCTCAGACGTCCGTGCAGTGCAACACGAACCACCGGGATTTTGCGGCGAGTGCCAAAAGAGGGGCGGCGGCTGCCAGCCCACCGAAGGCTGAGCTATACTCGACGCCAGCGGCAGCTAGCAGGTGTTCTTACACCGTAGCCCGAGATCTCCGGCTGTCAGCGACTGGCCGCCTTGGTTCCCGGACGGCAATGTCATCCGTGATCGGACCGTACAGTCCCTTCTAGTAGTGATCCAAGCCCTCTCCTAGCCCTTTCTCTCAGCGCTTCCAGCGCGCTGACGCCATGTCAAGAAGCTCTTGTTCTCAATCCCACCCTTTGGCACTTCGTGGCGACTGCGGTCAGCCTGGGGTTCCCCGCAGCTACGTGTGGCATCGAGTCCCGGGCTCAGCTTGAACTGCCAAAGATCCGCGCCGAGAACAGCGACTTTCTCCTTCTCGTTAGCCGGCTGTCGATGTGTCACGCTCCATTTGGAGGTCCCAGTGAAGGAGCGCGCCGCCCTTGCCTCCTCCTGGTGGATGCGGAACTCGAGGGACGGTATCCGATGCCGCCACCGCCTCCCGCCCGCCCCGACCTTTTGCGGTGCCGCGGCGACGTGGCAAAGCGCCCACATCTCCGGAGGGCCGTGAAGGTGGGTAGAGAGTCAGGTTGCCCCGCGATGCGACAACGGCCGAGGCGTTGGGTGGCGTATGAGTCCGAATCGGGGTGGGCAGCGTCACGGGCGCCCTTTTGGCAAGTGGGTCGAGGCTAGGGCACGGCAAGACTGGATAGCGATCCCTTAAGGTACCTAGACCTAGTTTCATTCCGCCTCCTTCCAACGGCGTTGTATGGCGCATTGTCAGACGAGGTCCAAGAGGGGGTCTAGGAGGTGACAATCGCCGGCATTCCTCCCTGGTCAATTGCCGCGGCAGCGAGTCGATGTTGGCCCTGCCGCAACCATCGAGGCGGCCCGAACGGGGCGAGATGGGTGGTATATAAACCCCGCGAGATCCCGCTCCTCTGGCCTTTTCTGCATCATCGACTCACATCTCAAACCGTCCTCTCATCCCTCTCCCCAACACCCCTTCTTTGTCTATTCAGCGAAATCAAGATGCGCACCACCGCCCTCCTCTTCGCCTTCACCCTCTGCGTCCTGGCGCTGAGCGGAAACGTCAGGGCCGATACGGACGACCCGTTCGCCAAGGCGGCGCAGGGATTCAACACGGCGCAGACAGACGCCCTGGCCCAGCAAAAGGGCCAGGCTCCCCCGTCCGGAACGCAATACCAGAACCTCTCGCTCAAGCAGAGCGGAGGTCCGCCGCTGCAGGACGACAAGGCCGCTGCCGCCGCACCCGTCAAGAAGACCGAGACCAAGCCCGCCGCCGCCGCCCCGCCGGTCAAGTACGCCGCCGACAAGGGAACGTCGCCGCCTCACCGTGGCGAGAAGAAGGCCGAGGAGCACCACAAGAAGAAGCACCACCACCACGACAAGGACGGAAAGGGGGAAGGCAAGAAGGAGCACCGCAGGAAAAACCACGGAGAGGGCCAGGACGGCGGCCAGACCAAGAACTAGGCTCGAGCCCCCCCCCCC